AGGAGGAAGCTTAGATTATTGATTTGAAACCTTTCTTCTTTTTCCCATATAGCCACTTAATGCTACATAAATCTCCCTTTAAGCATTGTTTTAGCTGCATTCCACAAATTTGCTGCTGTTGTTGTTTTTCAATTCATTCATTTCAAAATGTTTTTACTTCCCTTAAGGCCTTGACCTGTGGGTCATTCAGAGGTATGTTCTTTAATTTCCAAACATTTGGCATTTTCTAGATAAACCTTCCTGTTACTGATTTCTAGTTTAATCCATTAGGTCAGAGAATATATTTGGTTTGATTTATATTTTAAAAAAATTGCTAAGGCTTGTATGATGGCCCAGAATAAGGACTATTTTGATAATGGTCCATCTGCCCTTGGAAAAAATAAGCATCACTTTGTCAGTTGAGGTGTTCCATAAAGGTCCATTACTCCAATCTTGTTGAGAGCAGTGTTCAGGTCTTCTGCATCTTTACTGATCTTCTGTCCAGTTGTTTTATCAATTACAGAGAGAGGTGAATTATAGTCTCTAATACCACTACAGATTTATTTTTCAAAGTCTTTATCAGTGTTTACAACTCATGTATTTTGAAGCTCTGATGTTCAGTGCATAAACTTTTAGAACTATTACATGCTCTTAGATAATCAACCCCTCTGTTGTCATGCAATATCCCTGAAACCCTGATAATGTTGCTTGTCCTAAAGTCTACACTACCTAATATTAATACAGCTTTCCAGCTTTCTTTGGATTCCTATTAGCATGCATATCTTTTCTAAGCTTTTGCTTTTACCCTATGTTTTTATTTGCAAAATGGGTTCTTGCAGATACTATGCAGCTGCCTCTTACTTTTTTTTCATCCAATTGACAATTTCAGTCTCCCAGCTGGTACACTGAGAACATTCACATTTAATGTGATTACTGAAACAGCGGAATTAAAATGTGCCACTTTGCTAGCAGTTTTCCATTTATTTCATCTGGGTGTTTATTTTCTGCCTCATTTTGTATTGAATGTTTTAAATTCCACTTTATCTCCTCTGCTGACATTATCTATACTTCTTTAGAAATCAGTTCTAATGACTGTTCTAAAGTTCACAACATATACATTTAAGGAATCTTAATTCAACATTTCACTTCTGGTGTAAGGACTCCACAGCAACACATTCTCAGTGCCTCTCCTGATCCTTTGCAATATTTTTACATATGTCACAAATGCAGAAAAGTAATTTCTACTTTAGTCAGTTACCTTCTAGGGTAACTAAAAATAAGTAAGAAATAAAATAACTTCATTAATCCCATTCCCAGTGCTTTACATTCCCCCCTCCCCACTTTTGTTTGAGAAATTTCTCCTTCATTTCTGAAAGATACTTTCCACTAGGTAGAGAATTCTGAGCTAGCAGTTTTATTTTTCCTCTGAAGACATTTAGTCTTCTAGTATACATGGTGTCTAAAGAAATGTCTTCTGTAATTCTTATCTTTCTCTGTATGTAGTCTGCCTTTGTTGCTCTGGTTGGCTTCAAGATATCCTCTTTGCTTTTGTTTTCAGCAGTTTGAATATATTTCCAAGTATGTTGTGGTTTTTTTCTTTTTTCAAGTACGTAGTATTTTTATTTTGTGATTGGTTTTTCTTTCTTATTTTTGTATTCACACTATTTGATGTTCTTCATATCTGTGGGAAATTCTTAACCATTATTTCAAGTATTTCTTCTGGGATTCCAATCACTCTTATGTTAGATCATTTGATTGTGTCTCCAAATTCTGAGAGGCTCTATTCTGTATGTTTCTTTCTGTGTTTCAGTCTGTATAATTTCTTTTTTTTTTAATCTAACAATTCTTTTTTTTTTAAGATTTGTATTTATTTATTTGACAGACATAGATCACAAGTAGGCAGAGAGGCAGGCACAGAGAGAGGAGGAAGCAGGCTCCCTGCTGAGCAGAGAGCCCAATGCGGGGCTCGATCCCAGAACCCTGGGATCATGGCCTGAGCCGAAGGCAGAGACTTTAACCCACTGAGCCACCCAGGTGCCCCAAGTCTGTGTAATTTCTATGTAATCTATCTTCAAGTTTACCGATTCTTTTCTTGGTTGTGTTGAGTGCCCATCAAAGGTATATGTGCATCTCCAATGTCTCCATCTGATCCTTTCCATCTCTATGCTACGATTACCTATGTGGTTTTGCATGTTGCTTACTGTCCATTAGAGCCTTTAATGTATTATTTGTAGTTATTTTAAATTCTCTGTCAGATCTTTTCCAACAGCTGTGTCATGTCTGACTCTTGTTCTGATGACTGCTTTGTCTTTTGGGAGTTTTTTCCTTTGCCCCTACATATGTTTCATAATTTGTTGAAAACTAACCATCTTGATGAGACAGCAGAGACTGCGCATCCTTTCCTTCTGCTGGGACTGTGTTCAAGTTAACCTAATTTGTTGGCCAGGACTGAGATTTGTTGCTGCTATGGTTTCACTCCATATATCACAGCTTTCAAATTCCTCTAGTGACACTTTGTGCTTACACAGTGGCTACTGTGCTACAGAGCTTTGGGTTTTTGCCAGTAGTTGCTCCACTTGCAGCCTTTGATCTTCCCTTTGCATTCATTGTGCCTCTCGTGAGTTACTGATTCCATCAGCCGATGCACCAGTATCCAAGACTTGATGTCACATCTCCCTAAATGCATGTGTCCCCCTTAGATTTTAGGCCTGTTGGCTGCCCTGGAGCCTCAGCACACTGACGGGTTCAAGAAAGCTCATGAACTTACTGCCATATGGCTTTTTTCCTTGTCCATTTGGAATGATGCGCTTTCCAGCTCTCCTTGACCACAAACCAAAGCATACTCACCCTGAATGAGTTCAGTTCATGGATCATTGTTTTTCTCTCAGGCACTGACACTCTAGAAGTGGAATAGTCCATTTTCCCCAGGTTCCCCAACTGCTTCTGGCAGCTGGCATCAGGATCTGTAGCTGATGAAGGGGCTTTTTATCTTCATTACTCCTTGCCTTTCCATATTAACTTCTAAAATTTCCCTTCTCATTCTATTTCAAAACCAAACCTGCCCTCATAAGAAAAGTGAAAATATAAATTTAAAAACTTATGTTCTTGTTGGCTCTGACACCCTGTATATAGAACATGTATACAATGATTATTCAGTATTTTCCTCATGATTGGTGCTATTTCTAATATTTAAATTACAACATTTTATCTTTCAGTTACATACTTGTTTCTCTTGAGTGAGAAGTAATATTTTTTTTACTAGCTCTTTAAACTTGTAGGTCTTAAAATATTAATAAAATCAACATGCGCAAGTATCAATAGTTCCCCCCAAACAGTATCAAATGGCAGATTTTCCCTTTTCCCCAAAAGTCATATGCTATGTGTTAGAGTCAAATAACTAAGTAGGTATTATTCTCCTATATTATTCTCCTAAGTAGGTATTATTCTCTACAACAGCATCATAAATACACAGAATTAGTTACAGCTTGAATTTTAGAAAATGGCGAATGGGAATATTGATGTCTGCTTAAAAACATGGCCTTCACACCATGGTACTGATAGCATTTCCAGACTAATGGTAGATGATAAGAAATGGAACAAAGCAGAAGGTGAGAAACAGTTTGTACTCTGACAAGAAATACAGAAGTCGGGACATAAAATCGTGGACCTAACATGAGGTCCTAGGCCCAAGCAGCAGTGAGCAGCACAAAGTGGACCAGACAATAAAGAAAACATTTAGAAATTTTAGCCTTCAAATACCCCTAAAGAAGTTCCAGTGCTAGGACATGGGTTAATAATAAACAGCAAAGAAGATACTCAAATTCTTTTGCAGAGAGGGAACTGGATGGTTTCAAGGGACCAAAAAAAAAGGTATTGTTTCTATCTCATGCCCTTATGTCCATGGCAAAAGAGACAAGTAGAATGTTAAACCCCCTATCAAGGAGACAAAAAAACCCTCAAAGACTGGACATGGTCTATCCAGAGGGCTGCCTAGGAGCTCCTCATGATATCACCTGTAGCAACAGGTAGACGTTTTTGTTTTGTAAATCATGACAAGACTTGAAAAATATAGCTACTATTTTATTTTAGGTTTTTTTTTTTAAAGATTTTATTTATTTTTTTGACAGAGAGATCACAAGCAGGCAGAGAGGCAGGCAGAGAGAGAGGAGGAAGCAGGCTCCCCGAGAGAGCAGAGAGCCCGATGCGGGGCTCGATCCCAGGACTCTGAGATCATGACCTGAGCCGAAGGCAGCGGCTTAACCCACTGAGCCACCCAGGCGCCCGTTACAGCTACTATTTTAAAAAAAATTTTTATTGACCTTAAGAGAATTTCACCCCTACTGTGTAAAATACCCCCATCTGACAATGATAGAGACCATTAATAACATTCGGGGGACAAACCTATAAAGGCTTCCAAAGTTATATTAACATTCGGGAAGACAAATGAAGGGAAAGACAGATAAACTAAAAAGTTAATGTAATTTGATCTCTACATTATAGATCTTTCCTCTGCTATATAAGGCCAGCAGGCTGACTTTTCTAAAAAAGTCAATTATCATGAGTGATCCAATTCCTCTGGAATGCTCCTTATTCATATGTGAGAAAAGTAAACATGCATCCAAAAAAAAAGGAGTCCCTAGTTTTTCATTCAACTTAGATTATAAATATTCATTTGTTGTTAAGAACAGGAAGGATTACTAGAGCCGGACTGTAAAATTAATCCTTTCGGTTGACAGATGCCTCGTGGTCGGGGGCGGGGGGGGGGTGTCTACGAATCTGTATTATCAAAAACATGAGTTCTTCAGTGGAAATACGCAGAAATCACACTCGATGCCGTTTGGCTTTCAGAGCAGTATTTGCGGCTACCACTAGCATCATTACCACCATCACCCGGCAAGTCAATGTAAAGTCAATGTAAAGGGCAGCAGCACCGGGTGGTGGCTTTGTGCTCGCACGCGCCACGCCCACGCAGAAGAGCGCGGACCCGGGGGCAGAGGTTGGAGGCTGCCCTGCTGACTCACCGCCAAGCCGTCCCGGGCGCGTCCCTGTCACCCGCGTATCTGGGGGCTTGGCCGTTGACTCCACGTAGAGCGGCTGTCCCAGAGTCGTAGTTTTGTTTCCACTGGCGTACACCTGCTGCGAAGGCAACTTCGAGAAAAAGAATGACAGAATATGTTTCATACATTAAAAATCAAAAGAGAAACAATAAGCACAGTAAAAGATAGAACACGTGTCCCTTCCGGCTCTCCACCGCCATGACGCGAGGCGCGGTAACAGCGTTCACTCGCTTTCCCGCTGTGCCGCGACACCCTCCACACAGCCGTTCCCAGCACGGTAGCTGTGAGAAGGCCCGCGAGGACCCCGAGCAGCCCCTCCAGAAGGTGCTATTTTCTTTCTGCGGGCGGTTTGCAAACCAAAATGGATGAGGACGTCTGTTTCTCAAACACGGTCCCAGCGGGCCAGGAACATACAGCGGGAAGTCCCCGCGCTAAGGGGCAGACGCGGTCCCATCTCGTTTCACAGCACGTGGTAGGAGACGGACAGGACGCCAGGTGCGCGCACGCACGCACACACGCACACACGCACACGCACGCGCGAAGTCGCTCACGTACCGGTTCCCGGCGCGCGGCCTCGGCGCGGGGCCTGCTGGAATCACTGGACGCCGCGAGGCGGACGCAGGGCTCCCGGGAGTCGCTGCCGCCCAGGCTTCCGAAGCCGCTGGAGGCGCCTCCGTGAACGGGCTGAAGGAAGAAGGAGCCGCGCTAGAGTTCTGGCGACGCCGCCGCGGGGCTGAGAGCTGCAGCCGCCCCCTCAGAGCTTACACTGCGGCGGCCTCCCTGATACCCTGCGCCCGGTCGGACACGGACGCCCCTAACTGGGCTGCTGAGCAGATCCTCGCCTTCCGGCGCTTCTCGTTTTCTAGTCTACGCGGGCGCTTCCAGAACAGCGAGTCCTTAGAAAGCCGCAGAGAACAGAGGTGACAAACTACGAAATAAACTGTCTGTGCCAAGCTGAGAACGGACGGGAGAAATGCAACAGACCCCAAGCTTCGCTCCGCGAACGTCACTCCCTGAACCCCCGTTTGGAAACGAGTGGGCTCGCGGCTACTGGTTTATTAACGGAACCTCCAGTAGGAATCGTTGTTGGCATTTGTTTTCAACAGGTGGTTTTCCCCGCGCCCGCCTTGTAACAGCCAGACGCGGAGACCTGCCATCCCTGGGTCCCCACCTTTAAAATCGGAATCATTTTTTTAAAAATACTGCAGCCCAGCCCCGCAGCTCCGTGCACCGGTACCGGTCGGGAAACAAGGAGGCGGCTCTGGTTTAGGAACCGCTTCCCTGTCTTCCCTGCCGGCTTGGTTTGCTCTGTTAGAGTACGATCCTACAAGAATGTGCTGTGCATTTACTCCTCTCAGTAAAAGGAAAACAAGATGAATAAGGAGCTAAAGACAAAACCAGGAAGACAAAAATTCCCAGAACGCAGGGCGTGAAGATTTCCCCCCCCTTGCGGTGTATTTTTTTGTGAGGTCACTTCGCTAAGATCCACTGTTACAACACGATCATGGAAATTGTTTCCTTTTTTAAAATCTCACTTTACCTGTAAGAGAAGTTTGTGAATTTGTTCTTGTAGTTCTGTTATGTCTTTGTCATGACTGTTCGTCTTCCTTTTTCTGGTAGCAAAAACATCCTCATTCAGGGGATTCCTGCGAAATGCCAAGCAGAAGATGGTGTCAGGCAATTCAAAATTAATTTACAATGAAGTCTAAAGTGATTTTTAAACAGAATGTTCAAATAACAAATCTATACTTGTACAAAGCAACTCTTTGACTTCAAATAGAAAATATAAAGCTAAATCCCATCCGTGGAGGCAAAAAAAAAAAAAAATACTAAGACGTTATGAGGCTTCTTTGGATCGCCTAGAGCACTAATCTTTCGACATCTACGTCAGCATTGTTTTGCAGAAATCTAAAGTCAGTGAGGAGTAACCTCTTTAGATACCAAAATATCTGCAACAACTACTGGTCTCAAAATTTAACATTAACTGAGTAACCTGTTGTAGAAATTTTAAGACCCTAGGTCTGCCAAACAACATTTGATGTTTAACATACCTAATCACTTCAGCAACCCAACTCTTGGTGCAACTGTGGCTGTCAAAACCTGCAGTCTTGTTTACACTAGAGCATTTCAAAACCATGACCTGAACACAGCAAGAGGAAGATGTGCCAGCAGAAAACATCACAGAGAAGAAAATGACGTTCATTAAGGACTTATGTGACAGGAACCATGCCACTTTTATACAGCAAGAATAACATTTTCTAAACCCTTACAATGTGCCAGGCACCATTCCAAGTGCTCTAGCAAGTATTACCTCCTTCACTGGAGCTGAAAACTTCTCGAAGTCACCTAGCTGGTAAAGTCTAAACAGGTATTCATGAAGGGACCAGAGTCTAGGCTTTGGAGTACACTTTTGCCACCACAGTGTATCACCTCTCAGTACCTCAGTAACTCAAGTACTATTAACGTGATGCACTGAGTCAGACATGTCATCTCCTGAGTCCTCACAACTCTATGAAGCAAGAATCATTGTGATGCCAGAGAGGTTGGGTCACTTGCTGACACTCATACCTGAAAAGCAGCAGACAGGGTTTGAATCTACACACCTGACTCCAAAGCCAGTGCCTTCCCTTTTCTATTCTGCCACCCTGCTGTTTCTTACAACTTTTAACACACAACCCAATTCCCTAAGAACTGAGATACTTTCCCAAAGACTGAAATAATTCTTAATTAGCAGTGTGATAAAAGTAGTCAGGTAGAGCTCTGCCTTTGGAGACTGTCCCTCTCTGTCCGGAGCCCCATGGCAATGTCTTCTTTGGCGTGCAGACCGTGGGTGGTGCCCACCAGTAGTTATCAACACAGCATGATGTATGTGGAACATACATGGCAAACTGTGCTTGAATGCACCACCTGACACACTGTACACAGCACCCCCTTGGCCTGTCTGCTACCCGTTCTCCCCAGCCTCCCATTGGCATGTGAGCTCTGTGGGGTCAGTCTCTCTGGCCTGCTGTGTTCACCTCTCTGGTTCCTCCAACTGTGCCAGGCACATCCAAGAATGAATCCATCAGTGAAGGAGCAGTCTTGGCCGGGAGTAGGGGGTAAGGTTACATCTGACCCATGATAAATATGGCTGTGCACTATGAGCTTGATACATTCCAGACACATTTGGTTTGTTTGTCAAATGAAATTCTGGAACAGAAATAGAACCAACTGCTTTGTGTTGTGAGATCTATTCCTGTCTGTGAAGCTTTCTACAAAACCAGGTTGTACCTTTAGTCAGTAATCACATAACTCAAGATAAAGAATGTGCAGGCTATGGAGATGCAGCCTTGACCCTAAAGTGGCAAATGCCATGCAGTGCTAGGCCACTGGCTATGGAAGGACACTGCTTGAGGAGTCAGGGAGAAAACCTGGTTCTTCTCTCCACTTCCCAACCTCCTCCTCAAGTGACCTCTACAAAAGTTACTCTGTCGCTGAATATATGGATATTATCTGGAGGATGAGAGGTAATAGCACATCACTGCTTTCCCACAGAGAGGTGGCTAGGTTCCCCGCTGAACACCCTCACTGTACCCCCTCATTGTTCCCATTTCAACCTCACACTTGCCAAAACTCCACTCACACATGCCATTTCTAGGTCCGGGCTCTCCCACGGCACTGTGGGCCCCAGGTCAGGGGAGATGACATCTGTGTGGTCTACCATCTTAGTCTCAGGGTCTAGCACAATGCCCGGCATAGCAGGTGACCCATAAGTACTTGTAAAAACAGTTGTATAAATATAATGGATGATTATAAAAAGAGCAATAAACATTTACTAGACTCTAAATTTTTCCCTCACATCATCCTGGAAATTGAGATGCAAATGTTGATATAATTTTTTTTTAAATTGCAAACACTGTGAGTACTTATCAGTTAATTTCATACTTCATGTAATCACACTGAAAGGACAATTGGGACATCTAGGACATGGCTCTGGCATTGATGGGGAGGGCATAAAGACCAATGGCACCCAGGGGACACCTCATGAGAGCAATCATACTTGCTCTAGGGTTTCCTATAGTCCTACTAAGCAACCACCTGATTTTATTTTCCTTTCCCTACAGATTTCCCTACCTGGAAAAAAAAAGTCCTTTCTGGCCAACATGAGTAACACTGACTTGGCAGTCATATTTCTGATCCTAGTTACTACATTAGTTTTCTAGCAGAAGTTGGTCTCTTGAGTTAGGGCAGCAAGGAGCCCTTTTCTCCCATTAGGGTTCCAGACCTGCTCTACTGAGACGCCAAACCCAAAGCACAAAGACATAGGAGGACCTTGGGACCATTTCTCCCCATCGCTAGGTATCTTGTATTATGTAGTATTAAGACACGACAAAGTAAGTCTTACTGGTACACCTACATTCTCAGTTTTATGCTTATGTGCACAAAGCTGTATGACAAAACACAAAAGACATGATTTCTCAACCTTAGCATGATTCTAAAGAGTTAAGTATAATTTCCATGCTAAAAAAAAAAAAAAACCCAAAAGATACCACAGGGGAACCTATGGCCCAGCTGAGAAATTTACAGGTCAATTTTAATTTTAAGCCAAAAAGTCAAGGGACTGGGAGTATTTTAGGCTCCAAGAGTGGTGGGCCAAGTAGCTGTGATCGAAGAGGCTAGAGTCAGCCATGTTGTCAGGAAAAGAAAAACTAAAGCATCTAATTTTTTAAAATAAAGATTTGATAAAATGGACACAAATAACTGGAATTTGACAGCAGAAGCTGATATAAAATGGTTTACATGGTCACTAAAGAGAACTTTAAAATTCAGAAAAGAAAAAAAAAAAACCACACACACACAAAAAACATCTCACTCCATTACCCTACACAGAGTCAAAATTTGTATTTTATTTCCTTTCTTCTTCTTCCTACTTCACAGTGTTTATGTGTCATTTGAACACATTTATATTCATACAGTATAAACAATTTTGTATGCTGCCTTTTAAATCTGATATATATTTCTCATGTTATATAATCTTTGGAAAAATTTCCTTTGACCAATAATACAACATGTCAAACAAATAGTCTAGATCTTAATGATTGACATATAAGCTACTCTAAGTCTGCCATTATGATTGAACATGGTGCAAAATATATCTTTTCTTTATAAAGCTCTTCTATATTTAGGCCTATTTCCTTAGACTGTTTCCATATGGGAATCATGAGGGTAAAGTGGTAGAAATCTTTCAAGGTCCTTGGCAGACCAAAAAAAAAAAAAAAAATCTGTGCCTTATTTAGTTATGTGTCAACTGAGTCAAAGGGAGTCATGGGTGGAAGAATACTATTTGGTAAGAATGGTCTTCTAGAACCATGAACACTGACTGACTTACGTTCGAACTTTATGCCGACCAATGATGAAAGACACCTTCCGGCTCCATGGGTTCACAAAGCTGGACCAGCTGGAGTCCAAAATGACGTAATCTCCATTTTGGGTACAAAATCGGATGGGTGAGTGTTCAAAGGGAAGGTGGCCTGCATACTTCAAGACTGTAGAAGATAATACCACGAGATTAGAATTTAATGAATGCATATTTAGTGCAAATATTTTTTCTAGGCATTTATTTGTAAGTTCTTCAGATGTCAATACAGAATAAAAATAGTTTTAGCAGCTTCAACACAGTGCTCACTTGTTAAAGGTTGAGCTCTAGTGATAAAGAGCTTATGAGAAGCTCTAACACGAAATGAAATGAAAAATTAGAGCAGAGGAATGGTTACAGAAAAACTTCCTCCTATAAAGAAGCAGGTCCTTACCTTTTTGGTGTATTGCGAGCATGAGAGAACGATCTTCTGGGTGCAGATAAGCTAAGACGGATGTTCCCATCAGATCCTGAGGTAGATAACCCAGCAAAGGCACTGCTCTGTGATAGAGACACAGCACAGACAGCATGTTACATGCAGCAAGTAATTTTCAGACTTTATACGCTTTCAACAATACTTTTTAACTTAATTCTACCTATGAAAAAGAAAAGGCATGCAGAAGATATCATTCCAGCATTTATAAAAGGGGTCATGGGGAAATGGCTCCACAATCTAAGAGATGCTGGGCACTGAACATGTGTCGAAGTCACCTATGGAACTTTCTAGAAAATGATTCACAGGCTTACCACAGGTTAACTAAATCAGTTTCTGGGGTAAGACCAGGAATCTGTATTTTTAGCAAGTTCCACAGGGGTCTCGGACACCCCTCCCAATTTACAAAGTTTACAAAGGTCACATTGTAATGCAGAAGAATGCTGATGGTGTAAGTGAATAAAGCAGGGTGCACATTTATCCAGCACGATTAAAACTGTGCGGAAACAGTATCTCCCAGAAGGTGGAAACAGACAGACGCCAGGAACACAAAGACATGTGCAGGATGGAGTTTCACGGGAGGGCAGTGAATGCACAGCTCTCATGGTCACGTAGAAAGAATGGACTCCATGAGTGTTTTCTGTGTGTCCAAATTCACAACCATTTTCTAATGCAATAAATTTAAGCCATTACCAGGGTATCTGCAGCTAAATATTCTTACTCTCTACAGATTCCATGATACAAAGTATTTCATCAATTACTGTTTAGTTTCAGGGTGCCTATTATTAAATAAACCTATTTTCAGATGTTAAGATTTTTTAAAAATCAAAATGAAAAGCTATCCTAACTGTGCCAACCGTTTTGACTTTGTTGGTTTCCACTTCCGTGTGCCATGGTGCACTGAGTGCCTGATTTTCCGATTTCACGAATATGTAAATTCAAAAATAAACGTGGGAAGAAACAGAGGGTACTCACCAGGGGATAACAGTGTTTATTTTTTCCAAATAAAAGTATTAAAAAACAACAATAAGCAATGACTACTATCTGCTATCATGATTCTTTAAGAGCACTTTAATATCAAAAAAAGGTAGAAAAGACATCAGTTCAAAATGACTGATGATGCTTTAAATTAAGTAAACTTAGCTTTACCAAAAAAAAAAAAAAACCTTCTTATTTCTCCTTTTGTTTCTCCCTTCACTTCAGACTGAGAAACATTTCATCGAAAGGTATTTTAGGAAAGCACTTGTCTGATGGAAATCATGTTGGTACCTGAGCTAGAGGCCAGAGTTAGAGTTTTGGTCTCCTTTTGAGGACAATCACGTACCATGTCCAGGTTCACTGTCCTCCTGTGTAACATGGAGCAACAATTCCTGACGTACCTAAAGCAGACTACTGTCAAATCAAATACAACTTGCAAACTGTATAAGTAGAATATGCAAGATCCTTATATTGAAACATAAACTTCAAGCTAACAAATCAAACTTGCAAATGGTTAGACATATGTTTCATAATGTGGACGTATGTAAACATAATGTAAATGTTCTCATATTTCTATTTTCAGAAACAAATTTTTTTCAGGCTTAAAGAAGCACTTACCTTTCATCTATTTCAAGAAAGACACATCCTGGGGTGTGTGTTGTGGTAAAAATTCTTTTATCCACCGGGATTCGAGGAGCTACGAAAAACAGAAAGACTCACCTAAAGGCAAATATTTAATTAGTCATGCCCTTAACTGACCACTTACATTAGAGAGGGAACAGTATCTCATATGAAACGGTAGAAATCTCACGCGGGGGCCTGGCCTTCAAGAAGCCGAGGCTACGGTTATGTTATATAATACTTGTCATTACTAACTACATTTTGATTAGCTCAAAATGCAATGGCTACTGAAGTCCATTGTAAGTCAAGTTTGTGTGCACGGAATCACTCATCACAATCCAGCAGGCCGAGCTGGCGGAAATGAAAGGTCAGGCCTGCTGGGTCTGGTGGTATTTGGTGGTGCTGTGTGACTAAGTACAATGAATTTGGTGTCAGTATTTTAAATTTGAGTCAGAAAACTCATATGGTCAGTGCTTCTGTATTAATGCATGAATTTGGAAATGTAGTTCTGCCATCAGAGGACAGAACTACAGCTTCCCCTCAAGGCCTTTCAGAATACTTAAAAAATACAAATTCATTCTTGTGACCTCATAAGAAACTGTGCAACAGTTTTCATGCTCTTTTTTTTTTTTTTTTTAAGATTTATTTATTCACTTGAGAGAGAGAGTGGGTGTGTGTGAGTGTGGGGGAGAAGCAGAGGGAGGGAATCTCAAACAGACTCCCCACTGGGCATGGAGTCCGGCTCCATGCCGGGACTGGTAAGGTTGTGACCTGAACTGAAACCAAGGGTCAGGCGTGTAACTGACTGAGCCACCTAGGTGCCCCCAAGTTCCATGCTCTCGTTTCACACAGGGCAGAAGCCAGAGGCCACCAGTCACCAGTACAGAATGGTTCAGACCAGGTATCAGTGGCCAAGTCTGTGCTTAGCTCTTAGGCCACACTGACCTTGAAGGAGACAACTATGGAGAAGTCAGGGTCAGGAAACAGAGACACTAGGGCAGATCAGCTCTAAATGCCCAAGAGTTCAGGGCCAACATGAAGCCTTGAGCACTCTTTTCTGGTGCTGCAGCTGCAGTCAACAGGCTTCCACATGCTCCTACCTGCATGGCTGTCAGGTTACGTTTGATCCAGAAGCAGACCCTCCTGCCTTACCTTCATAACCAGAGTGAATCTTCTCCACCAGGGTGAGACAGCAGGGCTCAGATTCCAGCTGGGCAGAGCTACGTACATGCAGCAGATAAGGGATAATCCGGACTGGGCAGTAATGCTTCTTTTGCTCTGTGTCCTGGCCTCCCCTGAAAAGCACAGAGATGGTGAGTGACCTGTCCTGATAGATTCAGGGAGCCCAGCGTGAAACAAGGCCTTGAGAGATGCCTTCTTGGTGATTTCTGAAAGAGACCTACCCAAATCTAAAAATGTTTAAATGTGTTTATTTTAAAAAGAAATGTTAGTTTACATTTTCAATGCCCAAGGATAATTATACTCATTCCTTATCCAATGAAAAAGAGGAGTTACGGAGAACTAGCTTAGTGGGTTAAAAGTGGAACCAGCCATTCCATGACTTTTCTTCTGACCCAAATCATGTGACCTCCTGGTTTTACCTCACGTGCCTCAACCAAGTACCACATGACAGCCATCAGGTTTCCCTGTGATCATGCCCCCCAAAGCCAGCTCTCCACCACCCCTACCTACACTCTCTCGAGGGGCTGACTTCGTCGCATAGCTTCACGACTACCTGGATGGGCACAGGGCCCTGTGTGGGGGGAAGCAGGCATCAGGAAAGCAGGGCTAGAACCTGCTGGCCAAGCCCTGGCCCAGCTGGGCAGGGGCGGCTCGACTCCCAGCCTTTCACCTGGTTTTATAGCTCCAGCTTCCCAGAGGACATTTCTCCTTGGATACACTGTGGTCCCCTTAGTAGCGACATGCCCACAACCGAATCCATCCCCCCCTCCCCCGTTTCTATGGGTCACACCTCGCCTCTCCCACCACTGGCCGAAGTCACGTCAGGTGGTCTTCAGCTGCTAGAAGCTCCACCTCCGTGTGCCCGGTACTCCCCCCACCCCCACCTCGCTTCCTTGCCTCTCCTCAGACCCTGGTGCCTCTGCTCCCAATCGTGTCCCTGCTTCCGTTTGAGAAAAGAACAGCCTGACCCTGACCCTGACCCTGACCCACCCGCTGTCCTGTGTCTCCCACCTGTTCCGGGGCCTGCATCTCCCAGGCTCATCCCATCTTGGCTTCTGCACGCTCTGTGTGCACTGACAAACCGAGCACCTGTCTCCAGCCCGGACTTCTCCCTGAACTCCAGACCCACCTACCGATGCTCCATCAACACCACAGAGTTCAAGTTCCACCAGACAAGGCCAATCAACTTGTCTAAAACCAGGCACCGGACTCTTCCCCTCCTCGCTCCGGGAAGCGGCTCTTTCCTTTCACACCCCAAACTGGTCCATTAATGAACTCCAACAGCTCTCCCGAACAAAGATATCTGAAATCCCCAAGGTATGTCTGTGTCTTCCTGCTGCCACTGCCCAGTGACAGCCCTTCTCTCCCCGGCCCTCCCTCCTGCCCCTCATCCCTGCCCCTTCTCCAGCGCAGCGCCCGACGAGGCCCTCTTAGGCCAGGTCGCATCCCTCTAAAAAATGCAACTGGGGAGCGCCTGGGTGGCTCAGTGGGTTAAGCCGCTGCCTTCGGCTCAGGTCATGATCTCAGAGTCCTGGGATCGAGCCCCGCATCGGGCTCTCTGCTCTCTCGGGGAGCCTGCTTCCTCCTCTCTCTCTCTGCCTGCCTCTCTGCCTGCTTGTGATCTCTCTGTCAAATAAATAAATAAAATCTTTAAAAAAAAAAAATGCAACTGGCCTATCTCTGTCCACTGAGGATTCCCAGAAACTGTGTGAAGCCTGGTTGGTCTCCAGACGGTAATGCCATCTCCCACCTCAAGGAAGGAGGGATCATGGGAGAAATGACGGACTCCACATGCGCAGTAGGACACATCTAGGTGGCACCTGGGCCACTGTGCCTGGAGCAAAGGCGCTGTCAGCGCCCATGGGGGTACCCTCACATGGCACTGGAGCGAACCTGAAAGGGTTCATGCTGGCCACAAGCGAGACCATTTGAGCATCACAGAGATGAACGAGCACCTTCTGTTTCTGCTCACATTCTGAAATGCTGATGGAGGAAATGAACCACGGTCTGCGAACTGCTTCAGCGTCAGGGGGAGGGTGGGCTGAGGAGCTGGCGGTGGTAGATACGACAGAAGACTGGCTGTGGATTAAAGTCAGCGAAGGTGAATGGTGAGTCTGCACCAGTGCACTGTACTATCTCCCCTACTTCCATGTTATTTTGCAAATTCCAAAAGTAAGGTTTTCAAAAAAATGATTAACCTGAACAAAACATGCCCTTCGGAAGTCAAAGCTCCCTATGGTCCGGTCCCTGTTTCTTCATCTCCTTCCACTCTTCTCCAGCCATATTAGTTTCCTTGTTACTCCCCCCACAGGCCAAGCATGCTCTGCCCCAGGGCCTTCGCACTTGTCTGGAACACTCTTCCCTCAGGTAGAGGTATGGCTTGCTCCCTCACCACCTTCAGGCTCTGGCTCCAATCAGGCTTCTTATTAAAGAACATTCCTTAACCACCCTGAACACACTAGTAATCTCTCTCCTGCCCAGAATTCCCACTCCTTCCCTCTCCTTCACTGTTCCACATGGAACTTACTGCCAGCGGACACACACGTAGGTACCTGTTTGTTAACTGTCTCCCTTCCACACACAGAATGGAAGGTCCACAAGGGCAAGAACTTTGCACCTGTAATCTTGCCTGGCTCAGAGAAGGCAAAGAAATATATTTACTAGCAAAATAAACACAAACAGCACTTAGTCTGTGGTGAGCACTGTTCTAAGGTCTTCGTTAACAGTTCCTCTGTGAAGGACTGAACGGACCAACACAGCCCTCCCTCCTGCGGCCCTCTCCCCGGGGTAGCCTTCCCCAAGCACTGGAACGCTGTGAGCTCAACAGCTCCAACCCTGTGGAGTGCTGACTGGTCCATTACAAGGACTTTTCTCTTTAGTTTTCCACATCTGGACCCTTTAGTAACTTCAGTACTCACGCTAGCAATCGTGATGTCACTGAACCACATTTCCTTATTGCAAAAGTAACATGAACACAGCACAGCAAATTCAGAAGAAAAAAAAATCACTAACAAATCCTATCAGAAACCAACTACGATTAAAATTTGGGTCAGTTTTCTTCCAGTTCATTACATCTGGACCTTTTAAATCCTTCCCTTAGACACAGGTATTTTACTTTCTTTAGTTATTTAAAATTTAGGAAGTTAGGGGCGCCCGGCTGGCTCAGTCAGTAAAGTGTGTGTCTCTTGAGCTCACCAGGTCACAAGTTCAAGCCCCACTGTAGGCACAAAGCTTGCTTAAAAAAATTTTTTTTTTAAATCAAGTAAAATTTCAAAAATTAATTTTAAGTGTGACCAAGAGTCAAAAAGCAAACAAAAACCAACAGATTCCCAAACAATGGGCATTTGAAAGTGTACTTAACATCATCCAGCAGTCCCTAGTGAGAAAGAGAGACAGAGAACATGAGAGAGAGCACGAGAGTACGCGAGCACCCCCGGCTAAGAATGATCTCTCTGTTCTTCGTCCGGACTGCATTATTACCTCGTCATTTTGAGTGTACGCTGCTTCTCCTCAATCAAAACACAAACTTCTTGTGGCAAGAACCCAGTGCTACGGGGCGCCTGGGTGGCTCAGTGGGTTAAGCCGCTGCCTTTGGCTCAGGTCATGATCCCAGGTCCTGGGTTCAAGCCCCACATTGGGCTCTCTGCTCAGCAGGGAGCCTGCTTCCTCCTCTCTCTGCCTGCCTCTCTGCCTACTTGTGATCTCTGTCAAATAAATAAATAAAATCTTTAAAAAAAAAAAAAAAAAAGAACCCAGTGCTAGCTGAATACAAAAGAATCTAAAAAGGGCCCTAAAAAGGGCCCCCCAAAATCAGAGTGTAACCCATCATTCCTGCCCCTCACAAGCCCCCAGACTTACCGGATCCTGCAGAAAAAGGACTTCACCGGAGTGGAGTCGTATTGAGATGCTGCAGGAAACAGAGACAAAGTGTTAACCACCCCCTCCCAGAGCAACAGGCCAGAGAAGCTCACTGTCCACGAGACAAACTCCAATTATCCCCAAACAAATGAGAAACTGCTCTTTTAAAGGAGATACCCTTGATTCAAACAGGGCTTCTGCCCTCTCTCTGAGATGGAGTCGCATCCAGTATTTTCCAGAGGGATTCGGTACTCTAGCTGTGACCCTCAGGGAGACAGCAAGCATATGTATGTAGGACTGAGGGCTTTCCCTCATCAAACTGCTGAAACTGCCCATGCTCCTCCTTCCGAGCTCAAGGCAATGATCTGGGGACACAATTACTTTGGTAGTCACGTTCTATTTCACGGTGATAGTCCGCACAGGTCTCAAAACTGCTGATCTGGACCACTTACAGTGTTTAGGTACAGGATACAGAAATGTCTCACTGTTTTCTGTCCTTGGACAAAATCCCCAAAGTTGGGGCCCAGAAATGACACGACCGTCTTAGGCCTCTCACCATGGAGTGCCTCCCTGGTCTACAAAAGATCGTACCAACCACCAGGGTCTCTAAGGACACGTTCTCACCAGCCTCACACCAACATTTGCGCTGGTTTATGGATTTCGATGTTAATTTCATTGATTTGTCAAGTGGTAATTCCGAAATGTTTAATTTACCTTGATCGAGGGGCTGAACCTTTTCCCAAGTGTTTATCGACTATTTAGCTCTCCTCTGCTTAGAGCACCTTGAATTGATCTTTGGGGCACTTGCCCACTGGGGTGAAAAAGCCTCAGTTACAGGAACCAAGGACATGCTTAAAACCAAGGAGATGTTTTATAAGCATATACCAAAGGAGCAGAAACAACGAGAACTCTGAAGAACCAAGACAGGGCACGTGGTCCGGGTCTTTGCACTTCCGAGGAGAAGATCACAGAAGAGTCAGAAAATGGACTTTTGAATGACCAGGGAAAATGTACCTGATTAAAAAAGCAAACAAACAAAAAAAACCCCGAAAAACCAAACTGCAAAAACTCCCAGTTTCAAAGGCACCAATGATCCAACTCTCAGAATTCAGAACACTATGGAAGTCACAGTCCTGGAATCCTGAAACCAGATGACTGTTCCTCGGCTCGTCTGTGAGGAGGAACCGGGCTGACAAGGTCAGCTCACCGAACTCATGGCTCTGAGACACCCAACGGGCCCTAACATCGAGACCACCCCAGGAAAGGCTCAGAGAAGCCTGCAGAGGGCTGATGGCAAGATAAGGATGTCTCAAAAATATTCTTAACTTTTTGAGATGATTTTTATAAACAGGACCCATTCCTTGGTGTCATTTTCAAATGCCCACCTTCGTGTGGCCACAGATGTCCTGTTTGATGGTTCCCACCGCAGGGACTGACGTGGTCCGGAGGGGCAGCGGATCCCAGCAAGGGCCCTGACTCACACTGGCAGGGTGAAATCCCGCTCCGCACCTGCCGGTAGCGCGACCTCGGATGAATCCCTTAGCTCTGTGCCTCAGGATCAGAGAGATGGAGAAAGGGCGTGGCTCCCGGCTTCAGCGGACATCACTGACCGCAGGCCACAGCTGCTATCTCAGGGCCCCACATTTGGTGGCTGTTCCCACCCAGGGCCCGCGCACGGAACGGTACCGAGACAGGACCATTCCATGGAGATGCTGAGCTCCTCTGGTGTGTGACCGTGGCTGGGACTTCCCTTTGACTTCCTGGCCAAGCAGTCCTGTGAGCCGTGTGGCAGGCCAAGCCGCCTCCTCCCCGGTCCCCCGGTTCCTGCTCCTTCCACCGGTGCCAGGCATGCACCGTGGGCTCCCCTCCATCCCCCACCCCCTGCAGCATGTCACTTACACAGCTAACCCCATCTTGGCGTCTGCTGCTCAGGAGACCCAAACTAACACAGTTACCTTATCCATCAACTGGGGACAGTGATGGGGTCTACCGCTCCTAAGGTTTTTGTGAAGATTAAATTAGTCAATCCATTGAAACATGAAGAAAGGCCCTGGCAAACAGTAACCGTTCTACAGAATGGCAGCAATGAAGAGGAGCCCTTGTGTTGCAGAACATTCCAGATACCTCAAGTGCTCCAACTGCCAGCGTGCTTTCTTCTCTCAGTGACCGTGTGTTAGCGGGCTGGTGGGACACGACGATTTTACAGTGAGAAGCTAAATGGCCTCCTTGGTTCCAGAAGGGACAAAACTCAATTTAAAACTCAGGTCTTCCAATTTCCTTGCTTAAAATTCTTTGCACATGGGAAATACAGCTACTCTACCAGAAGGGAGATTTGCGTGTACTCTGTGTGAGGACAGCAGGCACTGCAGTCTCTAGGAGTTGTGCAGGACCGAGAGCCAGACTATGGGATCTCAAACAGTGGACGCCGAGTCCCTTCTCAGTTCCACACCTCGGCTGTGGGGGCGAATCCTTATTTTCAGACGTGCGCTCTACAGAACAGCGGTCAGATCTTTCCGGGAGGACTGTACGAGCCAAAGTGGAAACATCCTCTGACGCCAGGCCAAAGGCTGACATCTGCTGAGTTCCCAGCTTCCTATGTCCCCTTCATGCTCCAGGAGCTCAGAGGAAGGGCAGAAGGAGGCAGCAGGGGCCCAGCCCAGAAACGGCACAAGAAGAGCCGGAATCACGGAGGTGTGCGAGGCCAAGCCCAGTGCGGGCGGTCGCCAGGAGCACCACCAGCTCTTTAAGGAGAAAGTCAAAATTCAGGTTCCCAAAACAGCAACTTCAGAATATGTTACCTTTTTACGTGTTGGGGAGATATCACGGCAATAACTAACTTGCAAAGATAACATGGCTGAAAGGAGCAGACAGAGACCCCAGAGGGCACTGACGGTGAGGGAAGGTGGGGGGGTGGGACGCCTGGGGCTGTCTCAGCACCTGAACAGCTCCCGGCCCCCAGCGCCGGCGGGATAAATGGCGGCCGAGGGGAGGAAGGATGGATAAAAGCAGACAAACAAAAATGGACAATTAGAGGTTGAAAATACATGCGCAAGAAAGAGGAAGAGAAATGAAATCAACCTTGTCTTAGGGAACAGGAAAGAGTTGGAAAGAAGCAAGTTGGACAGGTGTGCATTTTGAAGCGTCCATGAGCTACACCCAAAAGATGGGGCCAAAGGTCTGCCACGGAGAAAGGAGCGTCTGTTCCCACGGGACACGGCCTGCGCTAGAAAGTCGGAATGCTCATGGGGCCCTAGATTGCAAAATGAGAACGTTCTGGAGGGTGTTTCACGTCCGTGCCAATGTCTAACACTACTGAACCGTATACTTAAAAATGGTTAAGTACTTTTTGGATATATACTTTTGGATATATACTTTTTGGATATATACTTTTTTTGGATATATACTTTTTTTTTTTACTATAATAAACAAATTTAAATTTTAAAAAAACTAAAGAAAAGGGCTTGGAATCAAAAGAAAAAGGTTGATCTGTACTAATGTTACTGATATTCTAATTAATAATATACTAATATTCGCAAAGAATATGAAATAATAAAGGGTGAATTTAAAAAGAAATAACGAATTATTTACAGAATCACACAGGACTGCAAGTCACAAAGCAAACCAGGACTAGGCATTCCCAGTTCAGGGAAATAACTATTTCAGAAGAAAAAGTAATGAGATTCGTGAACTTTTGGGGAGAAGCAAAACTAGAAGGGGAGCTAATCATGAGAAGTTTCTCTCCAAAGCCAAGCAAAGAAATAATGAAGTCAATGTAAGAGGGAAAACGTTTAATTTTATTAACTTAGAGAAAACAGAATCTTTATAACAATGAAACTGCTATATGGGATGCAGGCAGTCAAACCATATTAAAAAAAAAAACATTTATGATATGGAACCTATAAAATTAACTTCACGAAGTCAAAGTGTATTAATTGGAATTTTGTTAGAGGATTTAAAATGCTGTTTCCAACAGTCTGACTTTTTATTTATTCATTTACGTGCCTTTGTTTTTTTTTAAAAATTTTATTTTTAGTAATCCACCCAATGTGGGGCTCGAACTCATGACCTCAAGGTCAAGAGTTGCACATTCCACCAACTGAGCCAGGCAGGAGCCCCACTTTCTCATTTTTTACATAAAGAAATAAGAAAAACCATATAGTTTGCAGGTCCAAAACAATACGTTAATTTTGGTCCTCTCTCTGAAAGAATGAAACTGATCGTGCTGAGGCAAGGTAAACATCTGAGCCTAGGTCCCATTACCTCTTTGGGTCCAGCTGTTCCAGAGGGGGAGGTGAGCGTGGGCAGTGTGTGCACAGAAAACCCTCACATCTTGGGGAGCGAGCAGTTCCACGAAGTGAGACGACTCCAAGAAATCTTTCTTACAATTCAGGATTGAAGCAGCTTGTTCAGAAATGTGCACTAACCTTCCAGACAGAAAGGAAAAAACTGCCACAAAGGTATCCTAGGAAAAACATTTAAAATAAACGCAAATATTGAGACACATGTGAACAATATTCCTTGAAAGGTCAATTTGTTCTAGACTCCTAATGTCATCAACACAGGCACATATCCTGCAAAGGCAGCGCGATTCTCCAACATATGCTTTAATGGTCCTCGAAAAACCCACATTTGATCTTCTGAAGGTCTGATTTCTATACCAGACAATGTACCAGTTCATCCTACATCGACTAAATGTGCATACGGCTTAACCACTTCTGATGCCTCCTCGTTTGCAAACTGACGGGACTGTCTTCTCTTGACCAACGCGTAACTCTAGGCTTCAAGACCACGCTCAAGAGCCACCTCCTTCAAGACACTGTCTTGGACACGCCTCGCTACGTAAGAATCATGTCTCCCATTTGTTCCATGAGACAGCAGTGACATTTACAAATTGACCACTGTTCCTGTCCCCTACCATTGGCACATCCTTCTAAGTTTTATCTTGAAGACCTTAAGGGAGAATGTTTTCTTAAACTTTTCCTTGTTTCTTCCAACTCCGCCACACCCACCAGAGTCCCATAAACACCGCAGTCAGTGAAACAAACACTACTGTGATCTCAGGGAGCGCTCTCGTTCTGACATTACAAGATCTCTACGTCTGAGGTCTAAACATGAAACCAAGCCATGCCCATCCCAACAACGAGGCATGAGGCTGAATGATTCTGCCAACATGGAGAGATTCAAAAAAGATACACATGTCTCTTGCCCAATTTTACAGAAAAATGACAGCATCTCAACTCAGCTGGTTCTATAAAATCCAGCTGTTACAACTTGAAGGAGTAGGTCTTGGAACTAAGAATGATATAAATACAAATTAACAATTCAGAAATTAGAATAAAATGAGAGCGGTTACGCTGCAGTTTCTTTTTTATTTTTTAATTTTTGGTCAAGAGATCGCAGGGGTGCTCAGGAGGCAGGGGCGGCTGGTGAGGGGAGCCCAGCAGACCACCACCCCCGGGCCGCCGCCTGAGTTTACATCTGCGCTCTCGCGAGGGCAGCAGAAACTGAGTACCCTCCTGGGCAGCCTCTGTTTGCCTCGCATCACGGTTACTGAAGCTCCAATGTATTAGGTTTCAAGATCTACGTCTAGATAAAGTGGTTAGAAAAACCACGCAGGCTGATATGGCAAAATGTGCGGATTCTTACTGTATTTTTGGAAGGGTACCCCGAGGCAGCCGTGCCCAGCTCCTCGAGACTGTAGGTGGTCGCAGCTGCTGGAGGTGCTCCACTCTGACTGAGGGTCTGGAAAAACCCACTGTTTGCTAAGAAACACAGGAAAATAAACAGGTAGTCCAGTGACGGCGATAGCTTAAGGAGATCATCCTTACCACCCTTGAAGTCGGCTTGTTTTTTAGGATGAGGACACCTCGGCGTGTCTGCCTCAAAACCACATCATCATCTTTCACCTAAAACACTGATAGTTGTACCAATGTCGAGCCTCTGGAGTTTAGGATTTTCTGATGTTCTGTGTCACAAGAAGCAAGCTCCATATAAGGTATGAAAACCCCAAATTCCAAATACATGCACGTGGCGTGTTTATGGCAGAAATATTACTTTCGTATTCAGGACCTGTGTGTCATATATGACGTCACAGAAGTGCGCTAGCTAAAGAAAATGTGTGCTTTGTTAAATCCCTGAAAAAGAAAGGTCAGAGATAGAAAGGAAAGTTGCTTGCAGCGGTTCGTTTTTAATTTGGCGAATTCCTTGGCGAGGATGCGGAGAAAGGGGAACCTCCTACACTGTCAGTGGGAATGCAAGCTGGTGCAGCCACTCTGGAAAACAGCATGGAGGGTCCTCAAAAAGTTGGAAATAGGGGTATCCTATGACCCAGCAATCGCACTACTGGGTATTTACCCTAAAGATACAAATGTAGTGATCCGAAGGGGCACATGCACCCCAACGTTTATAGCAGCAATGTCCACAATAGCCAAACTATGGAAGGAACCTAGATGTCCATCAATGGATGAATGGATAAAAAAGATGTGGTATATATACACAATGGAATACTATGCAGCCATCAAAAGAAATGCTATGACGTGGACAGAACTAGAGAGTATTACGTTGAGCAAAGTAAGTCAATCAGAGAAAGACAATTATCATATGATCTCCCTGATATGAGGAAGTAGAGATGCAACGTGGGGGGCTTGGGGGGTAGGGAAGGAAAAAACGAAACAAGATGGAATCGGGAGGGAGACAAACCATAAGAGACCCTTAATCTCACAAAACAAACTGAGGGTTGCCGGGGGGCAGGTAGGCAGAGGGTGGTTGGGTGATGGACATTGGGGAGGGTATATGATATGGTGAGTGAAGTGTGTAAACCTGGCAATTCACAGACCTGTACCCCTGAGGCTAATAATACATTACATGTTAATAAAAAAAAATTAATTTGGCAAATTCCTGACATACCATGAATGCGTTGTAACAGTATGTGGATGACATGGAAAGGCAAGCTGTATTTACCACATGTGTTTTTTCCCCAATACCCTGAGAAAACCATGATCCTTTAAAAAGCAAGCTTTAAAATGTGCTAAACTCTACTCTCCTAAAGCAAATCATCAAAACATGGCAGAGTCGCTCAACAACAGTTCCTAAACTATGACACAAAAAAGGTTCTCCTGATGTTCCTAATTTGCCAAACCAAGACATGAATACAATCCATGTGTATTTGCTCATCTCACATCAAGCACCACAAACGCTCAAAACATTTCGGGGATCAGAACCAAATTGACAGCTCTTCCGGCTTGGCCCACGTTTATGAACAAAATGATGTACTCCCAGGACTGTACTTTTTCTCCCACTCATTTACCTTGTACTCTGTGCACGCAGCAAAGGGCATAGTTGAGGGCATCGACAGTGCTTGGCTTACTGTGTCTCCCTGATGGGAAGTATTTTTTCATTTCTTGCACAACCATTACAAGTTCTTCAGAAACTCTGTTTCGATCTTGCTGTTCACTGTAAGACAAAACAAAAAAAGAACCAACCCATCAATTCACACGTTCAATTAAGATTAAAATTCAAAAAAAGAGCAGCCCGCGTTTATCAAACGTGCCAAGCAACTTTCTAAGTGCTTCCCACGGGTCATCTCATTTTGTTCCCAGGTTTATTTTCCCCTTTGGAAGGTGGGGGATCCTGGCCAAAGAAACTGGTAAACATCAAACATCTTCCATTTTTTCCCATCCCTACTGCAGCTCCCCCGCTCAGATAAATCCTTAACCAGTTTCCAAACTTCCGGCACTCTTTGGTACTTCCTCACAGTTTCCCAGAGCTTTTCATTCCATTGTCTGAGGATCCCCCTGAACTTTCTCCTGGGCTTACAAACAAAAAGATAAAGCGATTTAAGCCCCCCTGTTCCTGTACTGCCCTGGAAGAACAACAAACAGATAGGCCGTGTCACCTGTTGCTGCTCTCCACCTGTGGGCTCTGCAGTTGGAACTTCTGGCTCCACTCCTCCTGTCCTCTCCCCAAGGCCTCCGAGGCCCGGGCCTGCGCTCTTTCAAGTTCCAGAGGCTCAGTCCCCCTGGAGTCCAGACATCTACGGCTGGACCTTTCCAGGTCTTCACAGGGGTCCATCTTCTGCTCAGCAGCCCTCGGTCTGTCGCCTGCTTCCTTTTCACCTTGCAGTCAGCGACAGGAATTTATTTCTCATTTTGGACCACGCCATTCCCTTAGCGAAAATGACTGGTCATCAGGAGCCGGCGGATACGGGTCCCTGGTCACCTGGCCGGTTTCCTATGCAGGATCTCCATGCAGTCTCGAATGGCTCGGCTCACGGGGGCAGCCTGGGGGCGCGGGCGGGGGGGACGTGACTGAGGGGTCAGGTGTCCAGTGACACGGGCGATATGCTGCGGACGCCGGGCTGTGACAACCCCGCCCCCCGCCAGACTCCCGCATTCGCCGGCCTGCCCACCCGCAACTCCCCACCCGCGACGTGCGCTCAAAAACTGGACCCGGGAGTGCGGAACTTCCAGCGCCAAGTTCAGGAGCCCCAGGTTCCCCCGGCCCCAGAACGGAGGGCGGACTCGGGGAGATCTCCCCGCCACAGCAGAGTACTGACCAGCTGCCGCCGCCGCCGCCGCTCGCCCCACCCGGCACCGCCGGGCACCTAGCAGTCCCGAGGCCCGCCGCGTGCTGGAGGCCGCCGTCGCCGCGCCCCCCGTGCGCCACGTGACGCGGCCCCGCCCCGAGCCGCGCGATTGGCTGCCGCGGCCGGCTCTGCTCGCCCCTATTGGCTCGAGGGCGGAGCCCGCGCCGGGCGCCCCGCTTACATAACCCGAGGCGAGTGGGCGGGGAGAAGGCCGGGGAGCGAGTTACATAACGCCGGGGGTCGGCGAAGGGCGGTGCTCGGCCAATCCCGGCAGGCCGGGGCGTAGGCGGGGGGCGGAGGGGCCTGGAGGGGGCCGAAGCTCAGGCCGCGCTAGTCGAGTGCTCCGCCCCCTTCGGGAGGGAACGGGACCACCAGGAGGCCGGAGCCAGCGCGGCAGGGATAGGGCGCTCGAGCCGCCAATCACGAGGGGGCGGGACCCGAGCGGGGTTGGCGGGTCCCCACGTGAGGGGCGGGAGATCAGGCAGCGGGGCGCGCTGGTGGCCGGGGTGGACAGGGTGGCCGGGTTGGCCGGGGTAGCGGGGTACGACCCTGGGGCGCGGTCGCGCCAGGCCCGGCCGCGGGAAGAAGCGCTGGACGTCCGAGCGCCTGGTCTGCACCTTCTCCGGCTCCCTTTTTGCATCTTGCTCTCAACCTTGGTGCTTCGCGCCCGCCAGCTCCGGGGGCTCTGAGGTGTCGACCCGGGAGCAGTCCCGGGAAGATCAAAGCCCTGTTTCAGAAACGGAATTTTGACGGCGGACTCTGAACATTTCCCTGGTTCCTGAAGTTACAGGTTGATTTGGCAACTGGGGGAAGACGAGTGTATGTTAAGAGACGCCGTCTCAGAAAAGGAAGGTGTAGCCAAGTCCTTTGTAAAAATATCAAGTCTGAAGGTTTTTTAGATTGTGTGTCGACTCCTCCGAAGTGCAGAGCTCCGCCCCTTTCCAGTGTCGGGTACATGAAAAATGTTCAGTAGTTTTTGGAAAAATGAAAGGAATTGTATAGAAAAGGGGTGAGTGAAGTGTGCCAGTTGTTCATGTCATGTATTGGATAAACCACCTCCTTTTTCCAAACGACGGCAGATGTCCCTCTCCTCTCATTTTGTCGCACTGCGTTCTGTCTGCGTTCGTTCAACAGACACTTACTGAGCGGATGATCTGGGCCGGGATGACTGTGGTCCCCGAGAAAGAGTGGTGGCGAAAGTCCCTGCCATTCAGGAAGTCTACCTTTTATGAAGACGGAAGACACAAGCAAGTGGATAGGCTGGGTGGAATGTGAAACGAAGATGAAATGCAGCTGGGAGAGGGTGGAGGGTGAAGGACGCAACAGACACATTAACCTGGTGATCCGGGAAGCCTCTGGGACTGGGCGAACTGAAACCTGAGTGTGTGTGTGGTGGGGGTGCGGGTGCGGGTGGCCCAAAGGGAGGGGGCAGAAGACACCTGCAGAGGCTCTGGCAGAGCAGGTGTGTTGTTCAGGAACAGAAAGAACATCTACTTTGGGGGCGCCTGAGTGGCTCAGTGGGTTAAGCCTCTGCCTTCGGCTCAGGTCATGATCTCAGGGTCCTGGGATCAAGTCCCACATCGGGCTCTCTGCTCAGCAGGGAGCCTGCTTCCCCTTCTCTCTCTGCCTGCCTCTCTGCCTGCTTGTGATCTCCCTCTCTCTGTCAAATAAATAAAAAAATTAAAAAAAAAAAAGAACATCTACTTTGGAGAATTCTCAGAGGGAGGAGGAATGGTGTGAGGGGCAATCAGGAAGTCAGGAAGGGCCAGATTATAATTAGGGGACGCGATTTGGGTTTTCTTCTAAAGGTAGTGGAAAGAGGATTTGAAGCAAGAGAGCGATCTGTATTGGCCAGACTTCTACACAGGGAGTGGTTAGCAGGTGGCTGTTAGTTACAAGAAGAGGGCTGAGGACCGGTTGGACTAGGGTGGTGCCAGGAAGGACGGCGAGAGGAGACTAGACGTGGGAGTCATCTGGGGCACAGAACCTTGCAGATGAGTTAAGTGTGTGTGTGTGTGAGAGAGAGAGAGAGAGAGAGAGAGAGAGAGTGATCAAGGGACTCCTGGGTCTTTGGTGTAAGCCGAGCTGCGTGTCATGGGTCATCAGCATAGACGGACAGGTGTGGGGAGAGTAAGTTTTGATGAGGGGAGAATGGAGACTTGTTTCCCACACGTTATGTTTGAGCACGCAGGTGGGACTGTCAGGTGGGTGACTGGATGTCCCAGCCCGGGATGCAGGGGAGAGGCCAGGGATGGCGAGATGGCTGACGTTTGGAAGAGACCAGAGTCCCTACAGCGTTTACAGTCACAGGTGAAATTCTCAACAGGAAAATGCAGATAGAGGAAGGCCAAAGGCCAAGACTTGGGGAGGGGAAAGGCATGGAGATTTAGAGGCCAAGCAGAGAGCCAGCTGAAGAATAAGGAGCCATAGAGGGGGTTGAAAGAAAAGCAGAAGAACTTTGGGTCATGGGAGCTAGATAAATATTTCAAGGAGAGAGCTATTCACCGTATCAAATGCTGGTGATGCACAGAGTATGACAAGGGCAGAGAAAATTTCTGCGGTGCTTCACCGAGACGGTGACCTTGGTTAAGGATGTCCCAGTGGTGTTGGCTGAAGAAAAGTGCAATGGGGGGCAGTAACCACGGCAAGCTATGGGGAGGGGTCTTGCTGTGTGGGGCTGCAGACAAGTGTTTGTTTGCCCAAGGAAGGGACATAGGGACCACATTAGGGTCTGATGGGGTGACCGATAAGGAGGGAGAAGGGATGAAGCTGGAGGAGGAGCCGCAGACAAAGGGAATTGCTGGAGGGAAGGCTTCCACTAGGCTGGGATCCAGAACCTGGGCTAAAGACAGGCACTTGTGTTAACAGGGGATTGCCCATGGTCCTGACAGTATAAAGACAAGTAGAAGATTTTGAAATGCACTTAGCTTGCTACTTAGAGGATGAAGGGAAAAAAATCAATTGTTTTCTAATAATTATGCCATAATTGACTTATTTAGTAAATTGTGGTTTCATAGATTGAATTTTCTGCTAGTGTAAAAAGCAGCTCAGTTATATAAGGATGCTATTTTTTTCTTAAGATTTTAAGTAATCTCTATACCCAATGTAGGGCTCAAACTCACCACCCTGAGATCAAGAGTCTCACGCTCCACCGACTGAGCCAGCCAGGCGCCCCCAAGGATGCTATTTTTAAATGCACTGAGCAGTCCAGTCAATTTTAAACAAATAATCCTCACTCAAAACCAATAAAAAAAATCACCATACTTTAAAAAAACATTCTTTTAGTGATGCAAATATGGAATTATCACGTAGGATGCACAACTCATTCGAAAATACGTATGAGTCAAGGGGAATTTGCCACATCCTTTGACTTAAATTGTCATCAGGAAGGCAACTGTTCACAAACATCGCATTTCTCCTTCCAGTGACATGTGGTCCCTGCCACCTATGAGGTTAGGCGGGGTCGTGTGACTTGTTTTGGCCAGTAGTGTGAGCAGAACTAAGAAACCTGCTTGCAGACGGAAGCTTTGAGAGCCAGCGCACAGTTCCTGATGTTCCCCTCCTGCCACAGTGATAACCTGAAACAAATGTTTACAGGAAGTCCCTCCCCGAGGGACTGAGGGTAGAACCTTCCTGTTGACTGGCTTTGGACATGAGGCATGAGTGAGGAAATAACTTTAAGCTGTTGAGATTTGGCAAACGTTTATTACATAGCGCTCCAGCACCTTCTGAGTGATCTGTATGGTCACAAGTATCAGCAAGTGCAGTGGACTGGCCTGGCGTGGACACTGGATGGATGGTGGTGCCATTTTCTGGAACCGACACTGTTAATGGTAGGAAGAGGAGCGTGCTGCAGGGGAATGCCTAATTCTGTTTGGTCCACTAGGCCAGGAATCCTCAGTACATTCAAGATCAGAGATGTGGGAAGAGATAAGATTGCCTCCGGGAGACTGAGTAGAATGGAAAGAAGTTGGCCGAGGAATCCTGACATTTACAGGAGAGGCAGAAAAGAGCCCATTTATGGTAGATTTTCCTTCAAAATCTTGAGAAAGGAACCAAAATTTATATAGATCTCATCATACAAAGGTCCCGAACAAACAGTACGATTCTGCTGTAGGTGCTTTACCAGGACACGATAGTATGGCAGACAAGAAAAGTGGCGACCATCTATCCAAGGTCAAGGAAATGGAAGAAGTCAACCATTTCTCTCTCAGGTTTATATAGGAAACTGGCATTTCACTGTAACCATAAGCAAAGGCTACTTCTACCCATATTGTATTGTTCCCTGGAGGTGGTAGATTAATAGTGGAAGTGTATTCAAGGGGAAGGGTGTGCAGAATCAAAAGGAGAGCTGTTTGGAGAAGGTTCCCGCCCGTCCACCTTCCCTTCCCTGAGGGCCACAGAGGCAGCTTGCTATTCCACCAAAGAGGGCCAGCTCTGTGGTCTTTGAAGAACGTGTATTTAAGAAACTCAAAAGCCAGCTCCTCAGCATTCTGGCAATTGTAAGAAAGCCAGCGCCCCCCACCCCTCATCTATACTTCTCACGAGAGGAAGGGTTTGCTTGGGTTCACTAGGGTAGGGGAAAATGCTGGGGACTGGGGAGAGGAAAAGAGTGCATTTTGGGGTTTCTAAGTGAGAGGGGAGGGCAGCAACAAGGAATGCCAGTTTTGTGACTTGGACCGCACACAGCGATTCTTCTACAAGCAACACAAGATACCAGAATCACGCTTATAAACAGTTTATTCGGTTCATTAGAGTGGGTAAGTTCCCAACTAAATGCACAGATACAAGCGAGGTGGCCCCGGGTCACTGCAGGAGCCGGCGGGTCACAGGGACCGGGCACGAGGCAAGGACAGAGCACCAAGCTTTCCGAGTCAGACCTGGCCAGAGCCCCTGAGCAGAGGGTGGGCTCAAGGCCTGCCCCACACTGACCACTGCCTCCTCCTCCAGCGGGGCATCCTGCAGGGCGTGTCCACAACATGGCAGCGTCTCAGTGAGGCCAGGGCGAGAGATGTTAAAGGGAGCCCGGGTCCTGGTGCACCGCAACTGTTGCTGCTTTGTAAGTCATGGGCTGGCGTATGGACGAGACTTTTAGAATCCTCTGGTAACCACGGGTCAGGGTGGTAACACCTCAGCATTTCTCCCTCAGAGCCTCCTTGCCTACCTGCATGCCAACCTGAATTCCCATCCTTAAGCCACCAACCCTGATGGTAAAAGTCTCACATACACAAGTCTCTCCGGTGACAAAGCTGTTTCCAAAGCTGCATCTTGTACAGTTTCTGACGTTGAAGAAAGAGTCTCTGGTTACCTGTCCTCTGGGAAGAGTCAACCACCCCTGACCAATGCCCGGTAGAAGGTATAATTCAGAAGACAGATTTAGGAAGTGGGATATGGATAAAAATAGGAAAACAAACTACCAAAGGCTACCATCTATACAGACTGGGCCAGTTAATGACCAGTTCACAGATGGTCTCCCTTGAAGGCTGTAGGACTGCTGGTCCCGTAATTATTAGAGGCCCTACTGAGCTCAGTCTCTCAGGAGGAGATGCTCAGAGTCTGGCTTAAAGCTGCTCTCGCCCCTGGAAGAAATGCGGACTCAGGGAGCTGCACCACCCACAGCACTCCAGAGGCAAGAAAGGCCTGTCAGGATGGAGAGGGTTCACAGACAGTATTAGAATTTTAATCCTGAAGGGCACCTTAAGTTCCATTTGTCACTTTTTTAAATTAATCTGTCAGGAACAGACATAAGGACACTGTACTGGGCATTCAACTTCTTGGCAAAATAGAAACTTTGGTCATAGCCATAGTTCTGTAAAAATGTTTTAAAGAGGCTATTTCTGATTAAAATATTTATAGCAAGTGATACAAAAACTGTAACAAGAAAGTAAACATCTTCACATCTAATGTAAGAGCAGAAACTCTTTATCCACGTCTTATTTTTAAATACAGCACAACAGTCAGTAGTGCTTATAAACAGTAGAAAGTTCTCTTCTAGGGAATCGAAAAATAGCAAAATAAGGCACAACCTGTTACTATTACAGATTTGCTTAGGCAGTAGTGTTCTTTCTGGAAGGCACAAACTGGAAATCTGATTACCTAAAGGCTTAGAATGTGGTTCTGAAGATGTCATATGGCAGGGATGGCTAGCTTGGAACAAATTCCCTTAATTGGAATTAACGGCAATTCCTCAGACAACCTTACTTCGAGGTGATGACACTCGGGAAGTTAAGAGACGCTCTTCATCAGCCACTCGGCCATCTGTGAAGGCGCCAGGCCGGGCGTGGGCTGGGCGGCCGCACTTCAAGTTCGGAGTGTTTATGACATCACAAAGGCACATGGCCTAGAAATTCAACTTTACAGTAACAAACAGAAACTAATCAGCTTAGACAGAACAGTAGGCGAGCTCGAGAATATAGCGGGTTCTAAGTCAAAGGTCTTGAAGAGGTTTCTGGAACGGCAGGCTGGGGCGGCACTGGTTCTTCACGAGGAAATATTCCACACTAAGGGGGAGACACGACAAAGCAGAGGAAACAATTCAGTCTCTCACTGCAAACCCGGAGTTAACAGTGAACGTCACAGTCTAAATGCGCAAGTCAACTAGGCCAACTTCTTACTAGTGGCGTCTCTACACTTTGCCGAGGGCTTGAGGTCACTGTCAAGAGAAGGGATGGGAAGAACTGCTTTTGCAAATGGTTCCCAGGGCCTGGGCTACAAACATCAATGGCCTGTTCCGGTATCACATATGGTAGCAGGAGTGGTAATTCGGTACTCAGACTTCTGTGTGCACAGGCACGTCCGTACGGACGGACGTACTTATCCCGCTACTGTCAGTACTACGCACCCGGGACCATGCTACGCACCGTTCGCAGACTGTGCAGCGGTGTCCCTATAGCAAGCGTATGGGTGTTCTCTTATCATCCCCTCTCTCCAAGTGAAGAAACTGAGGACCAGGGACATTAAGTTGCTTGCCCAAGGCTGCGCAGCTGGGCGGGACCGGAGCCACAGGGGACAGGCAGTCATGCTTGTAATCAATAGACAAGACTGTTCCTCGTACGAGGAAGTAGCGGATGAAAATGTACTCGGAGTGAAAACAGATGGGGCAGTGGAAATGAACACATTTTTCTCTGACTTCAAAGGATCAATGTGTATATTTAAAAAACCCTTGGATTTTAATGAAATAATCAAGTACTTAAAACATTTACTGAAGAGGGGCGCCTGGGTGGCTCAGTGGGTTAAGCCGCTGCCTTCAGCTCAGGTCATGATCTCAGGGTCCTGGGATCGAGCCCCACATTGGGCTCTGTGCTGGGCGGGGAGCCTGCTTCCCCCCTCTCTCTGCCTGCCTCTCTGCCTACTTGTGATCTCTCTCTCTCTCTCGGTCAAATAAATAAATAAAATCTTAAAAAAAAAATTTACTGAAGAAAATGAAAATCTTTGGAGTGAACTAGTAATTCTGAGGGAACTTTTTATTCCAAGTGCTTGTATATGACGTCAGCTATGACCACACGGAGAAGACCTGAACAGTGGATTTCGGCCAGGAGAACTCACCGATGATGATGATGATGATGACGACCAAGACGACAATCCCTATGGCCCACATCTGCGACAAAACAGAGACCATCTCACATTTCCAAACGCACAGATGAGCGTGCTCACCGAAGAGTGTAATATTCTAGTCATGGACCGAGAAGTTAAGGTACACTATAATCTGAAATAATTCAGTTTTTAAAGCCTAAATTTGCTGTTCTCAATTATAGTATGAAGTTATTTATCTGCCTTTTAGAAGACGGTCCAATGATTTGTGGTCCCTAGGAAGGCATCTGCATGAGCTACCTAAGCCCGTCCTGTGCATCAGGGAATGTCACTCGTGTGCCCTAAGGGGCTAGTTACACCTGGGCTGCGGCAGGTGTTAAGGTCTGCTCTGGGGTACGCTGCTGGGGGGCTGCTTTCTGCACTTCTGTGGAGCACACTGGCTTTCAAGCACCCCTATCCTGTGCCGCTGGAGCCTTTCACTGAACCACAGGCCAGTGGGCTGCCAACCCCAGCCCTTTCCTGCCACTGTGTGTGCAGGGCTTTGCGGGGGTGGAGACGTGGAAGGGCCTTGGTGGGCTGGTGACCCGATTTTGGACATTCCTGTTCTATATGCTTCTTAAGGTCAGCCACGGCTCACGGAGCATTCCTAGCTGAGGGCACGGGAAGAGGGCATGCGGTCAGGGCTCGAGACTCAGAGTCAAGCCAGAGTTCCACGTACGGGACATCAAACTCCTCTCCAATACCTGCAGCCCCCGCAGACCCTCTGAGAACGGAGGGTGACTCATGTAAAAACAGGTGAAAGAAAAGTACCTTGCAGTTCTTCCACCAGTATTTTCTCTTCAACTTGGCAGCGCTCGTTTCAAACTGGGATGCTCCTGCCTGTAGCGCATCTGCGCGGTCATCTAACTCCGACAGCTTCTGGTCTCTTTCCAACACCTTGTCCACGTTGACTCTCATGATGTCCACCACCTGAGCGGACGCGAGCACGCCAAGTTACAGAGAGAGGGAGGGAAAAACAAGCAGAACTCTCAGTGAAGTAAAAGGGCTCATTTCCCTTCAGGTCAGCACTTGATTATTCTGAGCCACACTTTCATTTAAAAAGGAAGGAGCAGGGAGCGGCTCACTCTTTCATGAGGAAAACACCTGGCAAACTAGAAACAGAAGGGCACTTCCCTAACATGACAAAGAGCATTTATGGAAAAACCCTCAAGTAACACCCAGGCTCAGTGGTGAAAGACAGAGAATTTCTCCCCAACATCCGGAACAAGCAAGGACGCCCACGGTCACTAACGCCGTTCAACACTCTCCTGGAAGTTCTGGCCGGAGCAATCAGGCAAGGAAAGAACAAAAGACATCCAGATTGGAAAGAAAGAAGTAAAGTGATAGCCATTTGCAGATGATTCCATATATGGAAAATCCTGAAGAATCCACACACTACTAGAGTCAATAAACATGCTCAGTAAAGGCTCAGGGTACAAGACCAGCACCCAGAAATCAGAATGTTTCCATATAAGATAAATGAAAAGGAAATTTAAAAAAAATTCCATATACAGTAGCATCTGAAAGAATAAAATAGTAGGGGATAAACTGAACCAAGGAAGTGGAAGATTTGTGCCCTGAAAATGAACTACAAGACACCGTGGAAAGGAGTCAAAGACGTAATTAAATGGGAAGACGTTACAAGTTCACAGATGGGAACACTTACTGTTAAGATGGCAAGATGCCTCAAAGCACTGTACAGATATACAGATTCAACGCAATCTCTATTCAAATTCCACTGTCCTTCCCCCACTACCATCCCCTCCCAGAAACAGAAAACCCAGTCCTTAAATTTTTATGGAATTACAAGGGGTCTGAATAGGCAAAACAATACTGAAAAAGAAAATGTTGGAGGACTCAGACTTTCCAGTATCAAAACCTTACAACAAAGCTACAGTAATCAAAGTAGTGTGATTCTAGCATAAGGACAGACATACGGACTGAGGATCCAGAAATTAACTCGAACTTCTATGGCCAAATGATTTTTGACAGAACTGTCAAATCTCTCAGTGAGGAGGAAGATGGTCTCTTCAGCAAATGGTGCTAGGACAACGGGACAGCCGTATGCAAAAGAACGAAGCTGGACCTTTACACCTCACCCCATATATAAAAATTAGCTCAAAATGGATTGATGACCTAAGAGCTAAAAACTATAAAACTCTTAGAAGAAAACTTAAGAGCAAACATTCCTAACTTCCAATTTGGCCATGGATTTGACACCAAATCAAGAACAACGAAAGACAAAATAAACTGAACTTTAAAAAAATTAAAACCTTTTGTGCAAAAGACATTCTCAAGGATGTGAAAAGACAATCTACAGAATAGAAGAAACTATTTGCAAATCATTTATCTAAGAAGGGTTTAATATCCAGAATATATATATACACATATATATGGAACTCTTGCTCCCCAACAAGGAGAGAAACAACCCAATAAAAAGAGCCAGGCAACAGACTTGACTAGACACTTCTACAAAGAACGTATACAAATGATCAACGAGCACATGAAAAGATATTCGACACCACTGGTCACTGAAGAAATGCAAAGCAAAACCACAATGAAATACTTCATATTCACTAAGGAGGACAGCTACACTCAGAGAAAACAGAAACTAACAAGTGTTGGTGAGGAAGTGGAGAAGCAGGGCCCCCGGACACTGCTGGAGGGAAGGCAGGCTGCAGCGGCCACTGTGGACAGGCTTGGCAGGTCCTCAAAAAATGAAACACAAGATTACCACGTAATCCAGCACTCCTGCTTCTAGATACATATCCAAGAGAAATGAAAACATAGAGCCACACAGAAATTTGTCCATGAATGTTTGCAGCAGCATTATTCATGATAACCAAAAGGTGGAAACTCAAAAACCCCTCCACAGATGAATGGAAAAACAAATTCTGTACACACACACCACGGAACACCACTCAGCCCTAAATAGGAAGGAGGTACTTACAGATGCTGCAACGGGGACCAAGAGCAAAAACGTTATGCTGAGTGAAAGAAGCCAAACCCAAAAGGCCACATGCGGCATGAACCCCTTTATCGGAAACAGCCACAACAGGCAAATCTATAGCAACAGAAAGCCGACTACCGGTTACCAGAACGGGAGGAAAGGGGAATGGCAAGTGAGGACTGCACATGTCCAGGGTGTTCTTCGGGGGGAAGCAAAAGTAGTGAACGCAGACAGAGGTTAATGGCTGCACAACACTGTGAGTACACTGAACTCCCCTGGTTGATGGCTAATTGTATGTTATGTAAGTTTCACCTCAGTTAAAAACAAAACAAAACAAAACAACAAAATACCCCCACCTCTCCTTAAAATTCCTTTGGTTAAGAACAAGGACCCAGTTTGATTTTTTAAGTAAAAGAAAGTTTCATCCAGTTAGAATGGTAAGATGGGTAAGAATACCACGGAAATGTATTAAGTTTCAGAATTCAGTTCCTAAACAAAACCATCAGACCAGATATTACCAAATGATTGAATGATGCAATCTGACCTAAGTTCGACTCTGCTTTGTAAAGCAGCTAAGTGCAGAGAGACTGAGATGTCTCTGTTGCACACTGGCAGCTCTTCGGGCTACAGAGTCCTAGTCTGAATTGCTCACAGTCTTCCACTGTGGGCCTGCACATACAGAGCAGAAAAAAGATGCTGGAAAAAAGACTCCAGGATTCCACAAACACCGATTTGTCGGGCTAGAGCAGTCTGCCAGCATCTGCCTTCGGTACGTGAATGGGTGACAACTGGAACGGAATTCCAGAGGTTTGCTCAGTCCTAGTAACCAGTGTGTCAGGCTACTCTAAGAAGCCTTTTGATGAAAAATCGGGTTGGAGGGATTCGTCTTGGTTCGAACAACCTATAGACCTAATCCTTAAAACTCCATTACCCTATTTTATAAAGTGTTTTTTTTTTTCTTTTCCATTTTTTTTTTTTTAATTGTGGCAAACTGTATCTTATAAAGTGGTTCCTGGAGGAATGCTCTCAGGAGGAGTGTCTGTGGTTCAGATACAGGATTCGGTCACGGGAAAACAAGCATGACTCCTGGAGACTGACTTCTCAGAAGCTTTTAGCTCATTTGTTATATTTAAGAAACAGCCAAAATTTCCTTTATACTCATGCTTTTATGATACTTTTTCTAAAAAGAATTCTTTCCAGGGTGTTCCCATGTTGGTTTAAAATTCAGTTTTCAACACTGGAGACCAGTACCTCATCGACTTGATTTTGTGTCTGCTGAAGTCTTCGGCTGCTGCTGGAGGCAGCACTTGAACCTGCAGGGGCACCTGTAGACCTGAAACGTGGAAAGGCACAAGCATGAGTAAATTCTGATTTCAGATACATTTCTGTAAGGATGAAGACGTTACTCCAAGACCTCGCTGTTAGAAGTTTCAGAACTAAAGCAGAAAAGAAATCCTTCCCACAGTAATGAACAAAGGTTCTAATGACATTTCTTCTAATTCCTCTATAATTTCCAAGATTCATCCATATGTGAGAAGTGACCAGAGTCTAAAGTGAAGGTTTAACAAGCTTTACTTTGTAACGCTGAAGCACCTGATGTTAATATCAGGGATCCTAAGAAAGGGAAACTCTACTTTTTTATTGTTTAAAGGCACACATCTGCTTAAATGCACTCAGTACGCTTCTGATCTCTCACTGTGGCAAGAACTGTTTTCACACTTACGAACAATTACAAAATGCCACTTTTCCACTACGGAGAAATATATTCATTTACAGAAACAGGATCAGGAACATCAAGATGTAGGGAGGAGGGGTGGTGTGAGTGGGAAAGGTGAGATGCGGTGCCTCCTCTCTTAAAAGGTTCCCCTCTTTTCAAATCCTCACTGAATGCCTGTTTCTCCCCAGGCACATCTTCCTTGACCACTGTGGCTCTGAAATCCTTATTGCTTCCATTACTTGGTTGGCTACACTTTGATTTTTCACACACACACACACACAGTCAACCCTTGAACAAGGTGGGGTTTGGGGGCACCAACCCCTTTCCCCACCCCACAACTGAAAATCTGCACGTAACTTTTGACTCCTCCAAAATGTAACTACTGACAGCCTACTGTTGACCAGAGGCTTTACCAAGAACATAAACAGTCGATTTACACGTATTTTGTATGTTTTATGTATTACACACTGTGTTCTTACAATAAAGTAAGGTCGAGAAAAACTTGAGAAAATCGTTAAGACAGAGAAAACACAGTAACTGTAGTGTTCTGTATTTATCGGAAAAAAACCCACGTGTAATTCACACCCATGTTGTTCCAGGGTCATAGGAACGTCTCGCCTTCCCTAGTAGATCAGACTCCCGTGTCTTAGACGGCTCTTCCCTGTACCCAAGACAGCACCAAGCATGCGTCTTGCATACACCAGCTACTGATGCATCCACTGATTCAAGTTCTTTTATACCTACCATGTGTCAAAGACCAGGGATGTAGCAGGTCCCATGCCTGCCCTTACACTTAATTTTATTCTCCGATAGGTAACAGTGAAGAACCATGTACTGGTACCTCTTCTTCAAGCGTTTTCTCACTTAATCCTTATTAACTCTTTGAAGGGGATACTACTATTAGCCCCATCTTAGGGAAGCCTAAAGTGGGGTTTAGAAAGCCAACACGGCTGGTTGCACTGGAGCCTGTCTCTAGACCAGGTCCCATATGATTCTACGGATCTAGACCTTAACCACCGTTGATTTCCTGGCACAGCAGCCTCAGCTGGTACACTCCAGAGTGGTGGCCCTAGCTCCTAGGAGGAACCCGGGGAAAGCACCCATTCCTTCCTCCTCCGTAGGTGAGCCATGACAGGCTGGAGGGGCACAGAGGGTCCGTGGGACTCTTGACAGAATATTACCACGGGAAACTCCCATGTTTTCAGAGGCCACTACAAGATGGCTTCTGCCTAAAGAGGGAAGGTCTACAGCTCTGCTCCTGAGTCCACTCTGACCACTGCTGCCTCTACACACAGGGCCGAGGTCCTTTCCCTTGCAACTTCCGGAGCCCAGCCCAGCCCCGGGCGGCGAACGGGCGCTCCAAGTCTAGGGCAGGAGCCACCGCTCCTCTGGGGAGCCTCGGGCCCAGGGGGTTAGGGGAAGGGGAGAAGGGGTGGGAGCCAAGTAGGGGCAGGGGAGGGAGGGGGCGTTTCCTAGCGCCGGGAATCCCCCGGCAGCCCCGCCCCCGCCTCTTCCGCGACCGCCCGACCGCCCGACCGCCGCGGGGCTGCGAGCTGCGCGGCGGGGCAGGCTCCGCCCGCCTGCGGCCCGTATCCTCGGAGCCGCCGCCCATCCCTGGGCCTCCGGAACCACCGCGCAGGCCCGCGTCCGAGCGGCTGAAGGGGGCGGGAGGAGGGGGGTAACCGAGCCGGGGGAGGATCCCAGCCGCGGGCCACCGTCTCCCGGAGTCCGAAGCCGCCCCGCGTCTCGCCGCGTCACTCACATTTTGGTGGCGGCGCTCGACGGTCAGCAGAGCGGCGCAGCGGGACCGAAGGCCGGGAGCTGGGCGGGGCGGCGGCGCGGGGCAGATGACGTCGCCGGGCGCGGCCGCGGAGGGGCGCGCCGGAAGGGGGCGGGGCGTCTCGGGGCGGGGCCACCCGAGGTCGCGGGGGTGGGGAGGGCGGGGCGCGAGCTGACTGCGGGAGGCGGTGCGCCTTGCGCGTTAGGCACGGTGAGGGGACTGTGTCGGTGAATGGGGGCGGGGGCCATTTCCCTGGCCGTGACAGTACAGGGGACCCACTGTGTGCTTCTGCTGGACGTCCCGCGTTAACCCGGAGGTCCTGGAGACCCCCGTTTCCCCGGGAAACTGGTTAAAATAAGATCAGAAGGCCCTTTGGGAGTATTTATCACAGGCGTCGGTAGGGTTAGACTCCCTCTCTTCGCGTGCTCGTGGGTGATTCGTCTGTCACTGCACAGGCCGTACTACAGTCTGTTTACGGGAGCCTGGCCATGAGGGGCTGTGTTTCGTTTCTGTATTTCTGCATTACCGGGCCCCGGCACAGAGGAGGTCCTCAACTTCTGGTCGGCTGCGGGCGGAGGCACAGATCCAAATGCAGTGAGTTACTTTGCCGTGTATTTAAAGTTGTTACTGGGAGGATTCCTACCAACGTAGACAACGCCTACCTTAAAACAAAAAACAAAAAACAAAAACAAACAAAAAAAACCCCATAACACTGCAGAACGCTGCCAGGTCAACCGGCAGATGAGATGAGAAATGAAAACTAAAATCCTTAAATACTGAACTGTCTTTTCCCACTGTCGATGTAATAATTTGAAAAGAGAGATGTTAGTGTGTATTAGAATAAACAAGAGTGTCACGGAGGAGGTGGGATTTGAGTTGGGTAAGTAGGAAGAAAACTCCAGGCAAGGAATGAACAAACATGACCAAGGACAGCAGCGGAAATGGACATGGTTTGCACCGCCCGACCAGAAGGGGCAGGTTGGGGTACAGGTGAAAAGAAGACAGAATAAAGAGTGAGGATAAGCAAGAAAAGAGAATGTCACTTAAATGCAGTGGGCTTTAGAAACCACCGGGGCCTGGCGGAGTTGGGAGATACCCTGCCGACTGGGTCTGGTGGGAGCATCCACACCAGACTCCGTGGAAGAGGGACTACCAGGGAGACGGGATGACACTCTGCAGTGAAAGGAAAGGAGATGATGACAGAATTCTCAGAAGAGAAGATGCGTATTAGTAGTCAGCTGGAAAATGCCTTTTCAAAAGCAGCAGAGGATTTTCGCGGCAGTGGTGAATTTAGATTGGTGTCTCTATGTTTCAAGTAACTGGTATGTTGAGCGGTGCCCGAGAAGACGGTTGAGAAAAGCAAGTGTTCTAGGGGCAGCGGCTTACTAAGACATTTTTCTCTTATGGACACGTCTGAAGCTCTGTAATAGCTGGTGACGAAACACTGTCTCTGGATCTAAGGAAATCCATGAAAGTGATCTCGTCTGGGTTTGAAACAGGCTGGTCACCCCGGATTTCAGTATCAGGTAAAGTTAAAGCAAAGCACACACATAGTATGGGGAAATTTTCTTCATTTTTAATTTACAGCAGAAAGAATATAAAGCATTCAGAAAACATTTTCCATATTTTAAGGGCAATTCAAAACATTTTGCATGGTTTCCAGCAGCTGAGTTCTTCAACAGATCCATTGATTCAATGATGCTTCACATGCACAATTACAAAAATAAAACTTACAAAAAAGAAGACATCTAGACTAGTTTTACATGCAAGTCTCGGGGACCCCCCATTGGGCGCCAACTACTGTGTGGAACTGCCATAAGCGACCGTGCAGCCAGAGAGGGGTTCGGTTTATTGTCTTTATTTTCGTTCACACAGTACAGCTGATTTCAAATGGGTAACAAGAATAGCAATTAAATCTTCAGGAGACAGAATAAGATTAGCTATTAATTTTATAATGAAGTCCTACTCCTGGCACTTGGGAATTCAGATTATCCAAGAAAGCTGCGCTTACCTATCATCTTATATTCAAAATTAAGATTCACAACCAAGGAAAAGCGGTCAGAAATGCTTCGTTTCAGTGGAAGTGCATTCGTACCTCACCTAAGATTCACAGTTGTACTGGTGGGCTACACCGGTAGGTTTTGAACCTACTTCCTATCCCCTCCGTAAGAACCCTCCTAACTCTATGTTAAGTCTTTATCTTCCAGAAGTTTCTAACTTACTCGGCTAATAATGTAGCATGGGAGACATTAAAAAAAATAAATGAATAAATAAACAAAGGTGAGGGTTAAAGCAAATCCACTGAGGTCATTACTCTTGTCAAAAGATCAGTTATTTGTACCATAATAAATGGAATAAACGTATCTAATTTCAGTTCTAATATGGGATATTCTGAAAGAGCTGGCTTTCACCTTCCTATTCCCATTTATGGATACAATTGTGTGTTTTGTAAATTACTCAGTGTCCTCCTACAGGTCAAATCGTTTAAAATAATAGGTATTTGGGGTGGGGGGAGTGCAACAGCTGCAACATAACCCACACATTTAAAAACAAAACAGAGCCAGGTCAGTTTACAAATGTACAGGTGGCTACTGGCCGTGGGGCTGTCACTGTTGTCAAAGCTGATCACAAGCGGTACGACGTATACTGTACAGTAATCCGAGGTTGGCAGTGAAAGGAAGTAATTAAAAAACAAGTACAATTATAGAAAAGGCACCAAGAGCACTGACCCCAGTTTTTACCACAATCTCTTTGTATCTACCTTCCTTCTAAAGACACCAGTTTAAAAGCTTATTTGTGAATATTTTTAGGCTTCACAACGAGCCTTGAGTTTTTAACTTACAGTTGGCAGCCAGAACCAAGAAAAAGAAAACAAAACAAAAACTATCACTTCAGCTTCACACCAACTGATCCTGAAACTTTACCTGGGAATTTTAAACTGGCATCAGCAAATTCGAACTTTATTCTCTCAATTTAACGTTAGGAGTTTAATTTTTAAAAGCATCAGATTTCTTTGGCTCCTCGTTATATGGAAAGAGTAACAGACCATGACAACCCTTTTAAATTTTTAGTTATTTTTTGTGCAATTTTTGTTCCGTTTTCTGATTTCCAGCAGGAGATATGAAAAACGTGAGACGTTTTCCTACTTGTCATACCATTTCTTTTGTCAGGTTTTCATCGTTCTAAGTGTTCTTTGTTGGAGTGAGTGGATGGTGTTAAGCTATATACGGATTCATCTTATGATTATCTGTTTAGCAAAAGTAACTTAATTTTCTTAAGCAATATTAGCATTCACATTACTTGGCACCGTTGGCAAAAAAATTTTAAATTAAATAAAATAAACTCCTGGTAGCCAAAATTAAATGTAAACATATCCTTTTTTTTTTTTTTTAAGTAATGTTACTCTGCCTTTTATCCTAAGTCTAAATACAGTAGCTCTTTTTTTTTTTGTTTTTTGTTTTTTGCAGCTTAGTCATGCTTTAGCAAAATGTTCTTCTAAAGAACATTTAAAATAAAGTACTCTTATAGTGAAATAAAGTTTTTTTTTGTTTCATTTTACAGACCATAGCCACTAATGCTTTGCTTTTGTTCATTTCTTTTTTCTTGATTTCATGCACATATCTCTTTGTTTTAATATATACAATATATACAAACAATACATCCACATTTTTCTCGCTCGTTCAGACAAAACTATACAAATAATTTTATCTTGCCATGTTATTGACCTTTGTGAATAAAATATTTAGCAATTAATATAATCCCTTTCAAATATTTTCTCACTTTCCGATTCTACCTTTTATATATACACAGAAACTGCTCAGTTTGGATGAGATTATAGCCAAAAATATGGAATTTACTGGCCAGAACGCAGCACCACACTGATCTTTTAGGTGGCAAATGTCCAGGCAAGGTTTATGATTCCTTAGAATGACTACAGTTTCCAAGGTTACTAAAAAAAGCTCCATGCTGTACCAATTCTCTAAGTAAATCTCATTGCACATGAAAGTAAGGCCCAAAAATTAAAGTGCTGAGCATGACAAAAGGGACAAGATGATCACTATACTCGCAGGTTCTTGGGAGGTGGTGGGGACAAGAAAATAAATTTAAACTCTGTAAGCTGTTTCTCATTAGTTCCCATGCATTACCCGTTTACCACACACCCGCCCCTCTGCAAATTTCCACAAGACATTAAAAACCTGCAGATTTTTAAAGTTGCATTAAGTGTGCTGTAGAGATTAAAACAAACACAAATTAAAATAAAATAAGATCAGTGAAGGAAATGAGAACACACGGACCCAATAAAGATTTGTATGATCTAAGCCCTCCACTGAGAATCAATCCCAAAGATTCAGCTTCTTGGAAGTAAATGACAGGTGCAGGAGCAGCATTCTCTTTTGTTGCTAGTGCATCCCCACCTTTGCTTGTCTATATTTTTGGTATAAATATTTGTACAGTTCCACACGATGTTTGAATACAGCCCTATATGAGAAGGAAACCGGCTTCTTCCTAAGAAGAGGAAGCCTCTTTCAATTCCTCGTGGTGTCTTGTTTTCCCATGATCCAACAGAAGATTGAGTTCCAAGATGTCTTGCTGATCAAATTAAAAGTTGTCCATGAAAGTGCAAATGCAATGACCAACACATTCCTGTTAAAATCCTGCAGCTGATCTCCCCAAAACTGCAGAGGGATTGTGTGTGTGTGTGCGTGTGTGTGTGTGCGTGCGTGTGTGTGTCGTTGCATGTCTCTGCTAAAAACAGAAATGAAAACAGTCTGAAAAGCAATGTCACATTGCTAAGGGATGCTGCTGTATGTCTTCAAGTTCCTTGGCCTTTCTCAACTCTTTCACTCTGGAAGAGAAACAGAACAGAACACCAGGTGATAGCTATATAGCGAAACCGTGGCCGGATGAGGGGAAGGGCAGGACCATTCCCTCTGAAGTGAAAAACCAAGACAAAAACCCTTTGGAAGACTGATGGCAAAAGAAACTCCTGCTAAGTTGCTGGGGGAAATACTCAAGAGAAAGACACGTCCCTTCCTGAAACTCTGCTCTGTAGCAAGTGCTCTCAACACAAAGCAAAACGGAAGTCGACTGCCTTAAGTCACGTGTGACGGTAACGTGCTCATCTTAGGAAAAGTTAACTGTTCGCCTAGCTTTCCTTTGTAGCCTGTTGGGACCACCATGAATGCCCGGCAGTCCCACGGGAGGCACGTTAGGGAAACTGCACACACACTTGCTTCGCTTCCGACACTCCCGGGGACTGAACTGCTTTGCTCACAGACTCAAGACGGAAGGTACCTTGCAGCCTGTCGGACCTGCACGGCCCTACCACTGCGCTCGTGCACCGTGCAGTCTTTCTGAGTCTCCTTATTCCTTACCTTCCTCCCATTCCACACTGTAACTTTCTAAGATGTTCGGGTCACTTCCCCCCATGCTCCCAGATGGACAGCAACAGGGGGCGTACCACTGTGTTCTATTTATCAAACATGTTGTAGTGAACAAATTTAAATGAAATTGTTGTCCACAGAGTCATGGGAAGTTCACATCAGCAAATTATGTGTTACCGATCCTCTCTGGTCTATAGTTTTCAATATAAAACTTTGTCTTGGGTTTTGAATATGGCCACCTGACGTAGGTGGGGTGCCCGGGAAGAGGTTGTGAACTAGATTATTTCCTTTTAGTGACAAATAATTGAGATCTTGCCTTAACAGCAAAATGATCAAATGCAAGTGTGACTTCAGGGTCTGAGTCCCGAAGGCAGCACGTGCGGTGCACGGCAGGCAGCGTGAGCTCTGCGGACCCTGTGATAACATTTGTTTCCTAAAACAGGTGTGGGAGGATGGGTTCAGCAAACAGAAGCTGCTGTTTCTCAGGACACGGATACCCTATACCTCAACAGCGCGACAAGAAAAAGGCTCTTCTGTTTTTCTCCTGGGGGCCTACAGAGAGGTCAGTAATCCCCAAACACAGTTTTCTGATTCTCCAAGGCTAAGGTTTCTGCTGTTATCTTTTAAGTGATACCGGTCAATTCAGATTCTATCTTAAAACAAATGCCAGTTTACTTTCTAAATAGATTCTTATTAACACTCCGGGGAAGAAAACATTTTGAAAAGCAGTAGGAAGTTGTTGTTAATATCTGGGATTCAATGGCCTGACACATACGCTATTATAGCAGTTGAAGAAAACAATATATTTACCACCTCCAAGCAGAATCATTTCTGAGTATTCTGCAAAGTTGATACAATCTCTTCAGAGAGAAGTTGCTCTCTTTCAGAAAAAAAAAAGCTTTATTATTTTATCATCATGAATACTGAAAAAAATTATCATGTTTTTGCCTGATTTATTCACTAAATACACCAGGGCCAGCTTGATCAACAGTGTATCTTCAAAACTGTTAAATCCCTCCTCCTCAGCAGGTGCGTTCAGAACACGTTGACATTGCTCTGTCCACAACTGGACCCGGGTATTGTTTAGTTTCAAATTTTGTAATTAAATATACCATGGATTATTAAGTTTCAGGAAAATTTGGATCATATTACAGTGCAGAATTGTGCATCATTATTGGTCCCTAATTTTGGACATGCAGACTTGATAAATAAATGGCTTTTTAAAAATTGAAACATGCTATATTGTGTGTTCAATTTTTAAACATGCAAAATCTATACTAACAGCCCTCTGGCTGGAAAAATGCAAGGCATGCATCGATGCCACCTCTACTTCTGGGCATGCAAATATCTGTACTTGTGCAGAGCTTGTTGCGAATCCCGCAAAATGTGCATGCCACTTCAAAGACAACATTTTATTTCTGCACCAGTACAGAACTCATTCACAGATATGCAACAGTGACTCCATCACTGATGAGACGTCTAGAACCTGAAGAACCCTGAACTCAAAACCTGACAGCATAAACACAGATATCCATCCACAGTTTTTCGAGAGTGAAGAGGAATGCTTTAAAAATATTAAGTTCATCATCGAGATGGAAGAAGAAAGAGAGTGAACTGTAAACCAGAGATGTTTCATACAGTCTCATACCAAAGAAGCTATCATCTGCTGATCACAGTGGGTAAACCTTGAACGTTTTTCTTTTAGTTAAAATGGTCACATTAGTTTTTGCAGTTTTTGGTTTTGTTTTTGCAATTTCTTTAGAAACTAATTAAAAAGTTAACTAAGTTTTCATGAGGTTTCGAAGTCACCATGTGAATATTCTGCTATGAACTAGCAATAGATAGCCTCGCATGGCTCTAGGTCAAGGCAAGATGCATGCCCACACACAGAGGTGGCGATGATCATCTACACTGGAAAAAGGAGATGCCCTGATTTCTAGGATTTCATCACCCCCGAGCTATGGTGGAGAACTTGGTTCTCAGTTTCATGATGAAGTTTTTACAGTACGTCAGCATGATAAATGATACCCAAATGGCTTCAGTGGCATAGGCTTTTTTTTTTTTTTTTTTTTTTTTTTAATCAGATGTTCAAGGAGGAGATCATGGAAGAGGAAGAGAAGGCTTCTGTTCCAATGGCTGTACGGGCTAAGTATTCGTTACCTCGTTTAGTCCTCCCGACACATTCCCATTCTCTCCATAAGTGCAGAACCTGAGATTTATGGCAATGAAGCAACGTGCCCCAGGTAATACAGTTAGCAAGTGGCAGAGTGGGGAATTGAGCCCAGGCCTGTCTGACTTCACCTCTCTACCCTGCTGCCTCCAATATAAGGTCAGGAGAACAAAACAACGGGAAAAAAAAAAACAAAACCCAGTTACGGTATTGGTTTTTCCAAAGGCATTTGGACAATCTCTGTGGCATGAGAGGAGTACAGTATTGAAAACTGATAACAATTAATACCTTTATTCCTAACAACTACGTTTCCTCAACTCTGAGATGCTGTCCTTTATGAGACCTTATGCTGATTTTACTACAGTGTTTGGGAGAACAAAAATTCCTACACTTAAAATGCACTTAACAGTTTTATAAAGATGGACCAGAGGTCTGAAAATAGTGGGAATAAGAATCAAGGGAAGGGAAGCATTTTATCCTCCTCCAATTTCTAATCAGCAGACTACGCGGATGTCAATTTCTCTCTCGAGGTTTAGATGAAACTGAGAGACCTTCATAATCTGTCCTACTGAAGTCACAAATGGAGGTCTAAGTTACTGGAGGGCACATTATTAGGACAGACTACAGGTGCCTAATTTTTTATTTTATTTTGTTTAATGTCAAATGTCAATTGGACAGGAAGTAATGCTTGACTGGTATATTACTGCTAAAGAAACAGAACAATTAACTCTATCACCGAGGTAACTTAGAACATTTGATACTCTAATTTTTCTTCACAAATCTTAAAAAACAGATGTTTCAAATAGTTACAGAAATTTGTGGTTGCCTCATCTCTGCCAGGACATGAATTGCCACTAAAAGGCCCATGTTGACTACACGTACATCCACCACGAAAGGTCATAAAAGTTTAGGTGTTATTACCTGTGGGTTTTTCTCCTTGTTATTTATATTTCCAAAATGTGCTACAAGGAGTATACTTCTGTAATAATTATTCCTGCTTGTCATTCTCCAAAAAAAAAAAAAAAAAGAGTTTACATTTTTCTATCCATCTTTTACTACGATGACATCTCACAAATGTTGCAATCACATGACACAAAACACCCAACTGAAAAATTCAGTGGAGAAAAAAAAAATTATTTTATGGTCCCAAACCAACATCAACGGACTTAACCGCTGTTGATACTACCTGTATGAAGAGCCTACTGTTCTCAGTACACTTACTGGCAAACAGAGACCAGAATTTTTGAAGCTGGAATTATACTTGAAAATCCAGTCACCGTATTCATAGAACTAGAATACAGATGTTTGATAGACTTCCGTCGCGTGGTGCGTGTTATCTACAGGCGGCTAATGCTTACTGAGGTTTTGGCTCTCCAAAGGAGTTATACCTGCGAGATTCGCTCAGGGCCAAGAGAGAACCTAACCTAAGGATGTCCTGGTCATCTAAAAACAAACCCCACTATAATTACACTTGCTTCTGAACTTCACCCCGCAGAAGACAGGCAAAGCAGCCTTCCGTGGGATGGGACAGACAGTTAACCGGGACACAGACTACAACTTCTGTAGCTCGATGGCTCTCACTACCGTATGGAGAGCTGCAAGGAGAACGTTTCTCAGCCTCCGGTCAGCACCGTGGAAAACGGTACTCCTAGGACTGGCTTGGAGTTGAGGTAATTAGGACAGCAAGACTTTGACCTGTGACCATTCAACAGGGATGGGAGACAACCCCAGGACTTGCCCGAGCGTTCTAGGCTGAAAAGAATCGCCACCTTGGGATACGGTTGCAGTCTTAACAACAAGAAAAACAAAACAAAACAAAACAAAATGCCAACCCCCCAAAAAACCACCACCCCCCCAAAAAAAACAAAGAAAAAACAACAACAACAAAAAAAACAAATGTTGCATTCTAATGTACCGAAGTGATGTAGTAAGCAACAGCACTGAAAGCCAGCAAAGCCCACAGGGTTTATTCCCGTCAGACGTCCAATGAGAATTCATGAACACATGGAGTGGGTCTGGTTCCAAACTTGTAGCAAACAATGGCTCCGTGGGTAAAGCATAAGGCAAAGCGGCTTCATTCCATCTACTCAGGAACGCTCAGCCAGAGAAATGTTTCATGAGTCAGTGGATTTCAGCAGGTATATTCTTGCAATGCTGGACGTCAAAAATATACAGGGCAGCCAGATGCGGCTTTCTGATGAGTTACCTGTTGCTCTGAGAGCTGCAATAGCTCGTGGGGAATTTAGGAAAAGAGAGATCTTGCCATTTTCCAGAAATCTCATTTGGATTGCA